TGATTTTGACTATAAGGTTGTGTTCCAGGACCAAGGGCACACACTGTACAGGGCCACTGGACTGCGGGAGTGGACACAGAGCTCAGACCACAGGAGCCCAGAGTAGACCCACCCAGAGCAGGCCACAGAGCTAAGAGCAAAAGGGCAACAATGCCACCTCCTTGCCCCTCCCCACGCCACTCCAGAGCTGAGTGGGTGTGAGAGAGACCGGGGCCATGAAAGTGGAGGTTTCTGGAGACGTGATGGGTGGAGCGTCAGGTAGAGACCTAGAGGCAGTTGTGAGTGTGTCCAGTTGGTTTACATCACCACAGTGTGACCTTTGACACCTACAGGTGGTTCGTGGAGTCTGGAGACACAACCCCAAAATTCACACCCTACACACACACTCACACACACACACTCACACATTCACATTTACATATAGATACATGAAAAAGCAGAACATGAGAAAAAAGCATTTTAAAAGTTTACTCCAATGTAAACAAATATTTTTAATTGTCTATCACTTGAATCAGTATTTTTTGAGACCAGAAATGTTCATTTGAATTCTATATTGTCATGGACTTAATTGACCTCTGTCCTGACACTTTTGATTTGTTGATTTTGTACTGTGTGAAGTAATTACATTGATTAGGATTAGAATCAAAGGGACTAACCATACACAGTGCCTAACTGCATAACAAGCTGTGTACAGGAACTGTGACACTGCACCATTGACCAGAAGTGCATCGCAAATGACCTGATGTGCTTCAAGTGAAAAGACTGTATCTGGAGATCCTGATGTGCATCTGGAGAGACCAAAACCATGGCTTGGACCCTACTGATGTCCAAGATGACATCTCTATATGACCTGACCTGATGACAACTGAGACTCACCCTCAGGGGACCCTGGGGACCTGAGGACCTGAGGATTTGAGGATCTGAGGACCTGAGAGAGAAAAACTGGGGAGTGATGTTTATATTATTGAAATCATACATTGATGAGTGCTAAATGAGAGAGATACTCATGATTCTTTCTTTTGTTTTTGTTTGTCCCTAGCTTCTGGACATCTGATGATCTATTGGACACAGCCCTTTGCAGAACAAGAACCAGCCAATGAAAAACGTCTATTGCCGATGCTATTGCTACAACCAGAACCTGTGACCAAATGCAATATACATGTTAAGTATTCAGACATCTGACAGACAAAAACTTTTACTTTTTTAGTCTGGGAGACTGAGCAACTGTTAAAATGTTTTAAAATGATAAAGTATGAGTATTGTAGCGTTTTAGTAGATGTTAAATAGTAGTAAAAAAGTAGTTCCTTTGTTTTTCATAAACATTTCCACATAAGAGTTAAAATAGTACCCTACAATGTTATCCTTCTGATAGAGCAGCTATAATATTAGAATCAGAGTTATTTTACAGCCATTAAAAGTGACAGAAGTCACAAACTAGAAATATGCCTTTGCTCAAGCTGCAACCGAGCTTTAGAGTCACAATAGTGTAAAAATAGAAATAGATAAATGCATCAACCATAAAATAGAGATTATTTTTAGCCAGTGCTAATATCAAATGGTAAAGGGACCATTTCACAAACATTTACTTCCAAAGTAGATAAAGTTCATTACAGTTTATGTACAGTTTTATTAGATACTGCCAAATTCACTTGTGTTCAAACATTTGTGTTCAAACATGAGTGAATGTTGACAATGCAAAAAGTTCATGAGTGTAGCCTAGATTAATGCCTAGATCAATGAGATAGATTAGAACCAACAGAGATTCAAAAGCATCTTTGAGAAGTTAAAAGCTGTCGATTCGTCAGCACAGATTAGAGAATCAAACATCATTGGATAATAACTGACCCCAACCCCAAACCTGCTCAAATAGATTAGCTCTTGTAAGGATAATACTAATTTGATTAATGGTGTACATTCATCCCAAACTGCCTGACAATAATATCTTTAGATAATTAAAAGTAATAAATCACTGACCACTATAGAAGTGTAAATGTTGACCATTTTCCTTACTGTGTTCAGTTTTATTCCTGAGAATAAGAATAGACATAGAGCAAAATCCCACTGATAATAAGCCACTGATAATGAAAGTAAACCACAGAGAGATTAAAATATATGTTTAAGAATATGGCTCAAAGCAGATATGCAAACATATTTGTAAATAGATTAGAATAGTTTTAAACTATGGTGAATAGAGAGTAAAGTACACAGTCTAAGATTAGAATTAGTGATAATAATACAGTGAAATAAGATTGAGTGTAGTGTAAACAATTAGCATTAGAATAAAAGTATAGAGTAATAAAAGTGAAATTAGCTTCTAAATTGAGACTCAGCTCGTTTTTGTCTGTGTTTTGACTGAATCTGCTGAGTTCTTGTGTGTCCAATAGTGTTTGTTTGTTTTTATTTGTTTGTTTTTGTTTTTTGTTTATTTATTTACTTTATTTTTGTTTGTTTTTTCCCAGGATAGAGGATAAAATCCACTGATATTGATTTGATGATTATGAGTTTAATGCATACATTTTCTTTGTTTTTTAATAATTTTGTAAAGTTTTTTGTTAGATTTTTTTTTTTCCTTTTCTCACTTTATTGATTGATCAAATTGAGTGATCACATGTGATTATGTGATCAAAGGGGGGGGGTGTTAGTATTAGATAGCAATATGGCCTACGTGCAGGACTGTACAAGGACTCTACAAGGACTCCATGTTATGACTATGATGTGACTGTCTCTTTGTGACACGTATGTCTTTCGATGTGTGACGTGACAATGACTATATAAACTGTGTACTGCCTTTATTCTGTCTGGGAGAAGGAAACAAAGTAAACCACTGGAACTTGAGAGAAACTTAAATAAACTTCCAGAGTTTGGCGCACCACGATCCGTCTCTGTCTGCTTCATCCTGACACTTTCTACACACAGTTGTTGGCTTAATTAGGCCGAGCCAATACGTAGTATTGGGGAGGCCTATTGTTATTCGCCGGTTTCATATTATTATTCCGCTTTTTCCGGCGAAACAATTCAATTTTTGACCCTGAAGACATGCACAAAAGTCTGCACATGGGGGGTCTAAAACAACCAGTTCGGCAAAAAATTTGATAAAACGGACGTTTCGAGATTGTCCGACAAAAGGCGAATCAATAGCGCCCCCTTGAAAATTCAAAATTTGCCATTTCTATTGGAGGCAGGATTGCATATTTTGGAGTAGGTTCTGGAAATTTGGATGAGTGATAGATCTCTATGAGACGAGCATAAAAGCCGGTCTAAGCACATGTCTGGGACCAACAGGAAGTCGGCCATGATGGGCTGAAGTTTCACCACCAATTCGACTTTTCATTTTTAACTTCGAACTAGTCCCTGGTTTTTCATCACACAGAGTTCTACCAAGTCATTTCCCAATCTGGACGGATTTAAGTTATATAATCATTTAAAAAAAGTTAGAAATTCTTCACCGTTTTCGTTCCTCGCCATGGCGAATGAGGCCTTCGTTTTGGCCATTTTCGCTGAGCCCTGAGGGCCACAGGCTCAGACCTACAGAGCTGAGACTCACATCAGTAATATTAGGTTATGGCCTGAACGCAATGACACTAAAATCATTCGCCCAATTTGAGCTCTTTAGCGCCACCTGTCGGAAAGTAATAGGGCACTAGTGCACGGATCAGCCTGAAAATCGCTGAGTGTTTACTCTGGACCGAGACGAGCAAAAAATTACATTACGCAAAAGTTGTAAGTCCCACACCTGACCACTGGGGGCGCCTTCAAAATGTGTGAAAGAGCTTTATGGGGAGAAATATTTGTCCGATGGGGCTAGAAATTAATTCACAAATACAGCGTATGACTGAACACAACGATATGCAACACACAACTGTGAGTGCAACAGCGCCACCTACAGGCAGTTCAAGGTGTCGCATGAAGCCAAAAGGCTTCGTACCAGTCCCTGGATTTTCATCGCACAGACTTCTACCATGTCATTTCTCCTTCTGGACGGATTGAAGTTATGCAATCATTGCAAAAAAGTTAGAATTTAGTCATCGTTTTCATGCAAGGCAGGGGGGAATTTCCTCCATGTTTGATGCTCTCCTGACCACAGGCTCAGACCTACAGAGCTGAAACTCACATCACTAACAGTTGGTAATGGCCTGAGCGTAATGGTGTGAAAATACACACTTAATATGACTCTACAGCGCCACCTATGGAAGGCTTCTGACCTAAACTTTTCCAATCTTTACAATCAAATCTTTACATCTGTACAAGCAAAGTACTACTCTACGTAGAGGGTGCATGTCCCGGAGGTGACCACTAGGGGCGCACTTTTTCATATTAATGAGCTTTTATGTACGTAATCCTTGTCAGATCGGGCTGCCAATTTGTCGGCGTGACGCTTGTGGGACTGGCGCCCAGGAGGCGGTCGCAAGTTATTCTTGACAATTTGTTAGATATTTCATATCTAACTTGCATTGCATATACTTCATTAAATCTACAAAACCATCTTTGTCTGAAAGTGATATTTGTGCTGATTTAACTTCAGAAACTGGGTCACTGATTTGTAAAAGAATTCATTACCTTCAGATTCTTTTGAAGAGAATTGGACTAAATAGCTAATTAAATAATTAAAGGACTCATGAGATTACTGAATCAATAAATGAGCCAATTAATAGATAATGTGACGTCATACGCACGTTATCAGTTGGGATTTATTCCCTGGTGCCCCGAAATAAAGCTATTATCAATTATTTTACTACATAACTTACAATACTAATTACTACATGATTGTTTTGATCCAATTCTCCTATATCAAATATAGTGTGATATCGACTTTTCTCACCCTACAGTTGATATGTGTATTTATATCAAGAAGATACTCATTTTTGACAGTGTTAGTTTGTTTTCTGGGCTGCTTTCATTACATACAGCGCAGCAGCAAACCAGGATCATGAAGTAAAGACTTAGGTATAGCTGTTCTTGAGGAATACTGTAGTATGCAGTGTATGTGAAGAATGGACAACCTGTAGTAAATGGAGCAATCTGCCTCCTGCTGCTGTCTCTCCATCATCTTCACAGTCCTGCAAGAAGCTGTTCTTGTCTTCACAATGTATTCTGTTGGAGATAATATAAAACAAAAAATAGAAAAGATTATTACTAATACTATGTTTAACCAGGATTTTTTTATGTGAGTCATGCCATGTGTACACTTATATACTACAAAATAAACAACATTACAGCATGTCAAAATGTTTGATGTTGTATCTTTTGATGAAAAATCTAAATATATCAAATATATGCCTCAATCTGATATATAAAGACATTCCCCTGTTAGTACGTTTTTCTGCATTAGAGGTGGAAGACATTTTGGTGACGAAGGCAGCGGCCTCTTGAAATTTTAAAAAGTTGTTTAAATGTCAACATATCACAGTGGAGTAATGACCCAATGTCCCAAACGTGCATCAGCGGTTCAACCTCATTAAACCAGGAAAAACGTGGCACAGGGGCTGAGGTTTAGTCTTCTCTACTGCTTTCTTTGTTGACCTTTCATTTCAGAAAAGTAACATGTGGCCTTTACTTAGAGCTACCTGTGAAAACGTTTATATAGATATATTTATTGTGCGGCACACAAGAAAGATCAGCAACAGTTTACTGCAATCACTACGTACTATTTCAACAAGTAAACAGTTAAATGGTATAAGGTAATCCAAAGAACTTGTGTTGTAGTGCAAGTCAAAGGCCTATGCCCTCCTCGATTTCTTGCAATTTGCCTCCTGTAGATATGCTGAGGCAAGCGATCAGCCCTTTTCTTGATCCTACAGCACTCGACAAGAGTCCATGGCAGAATCCTGTTTGAGTCTTTCAATCTTGCCATCTGATGTGCTTTAGAAAAAACCTCCCAGCTGAATGTGCTCAACTTCCTGAGTTGGAAAACGGCTGCTTAATGCTGCCTGTCCAGAAGATGGTGTGGTTCAAGACAACCATCCGGTCAATACTCCCCTCCTCCGTCACTGTGTGGTACGCAGGAGCCACTGCCATGGACAAACACTCCACAAAAAATCCTGCACACAAATATTGCAGCCTTCTATCACTCATGTTCACAACCTGTCCAGGACTCGGGGGAAACCCTTCTCTCCCTGGACACTCCCCTCAGGCAGGAGGCTATGATCCATTTGGCACAGAGCCTTTCATAACAAAAAGGTTTCTGCCCTCTGCCCGGCTGTTTGTCACATGAACACTTAGCACCTCACAACACAACTACTAGTTTTGACCTTCTGTCCATAGTATTATAAATTAAATGTGTCATGCGACAGTAGCTCAGTTGGTAGAGCATTGGCCTTAAGGCCTGAAGGTCGTGGGTTCAATTCCCACCTCTACACCTTCTCCACCGACTCCCACTGATGACTACTGTCATTGTGTCCTTGGGCAAGACACTTAACCCCACTTTGCCCAAAGCCCCCGCTGAAAGATCAAGGCTATGCCCACACTCAGAGAGCAGCCGTCCTCCTGTGGACTCACCACCTGCAGAGGGTCAGTGAGGGGATGGTGCTATGAGACTTGGGTGGCATCTCTGATTGCCACCCCCCTGACCCAGAAATGGATTAAAGGGTAGAAAATGGATGGATGGATGGATATTTTATAACAGTCAACTAATCAATTAAAATCTGTTTTTAATTGTTATGTTTGAGACAATCCAAATAGCAAGTTTTGTTATGAGATGCAAATGCGAAAGGAACTCTATCAAAAACAAGAAAGCACACTAGAAAATGTAGATGTACAAAATATGATTTATTTTATAACGTTTCAGCCAATACAGCCTTCATCAGATCATTCTTTTCTAGTTTTCATTTGGACCACAATATACAAAATGGTTGCCAGCCCAAGTGTTCATGCCTCTAAATTAGTGGGGATAATGGTGGAAACGTCATCAGATAGAAATTATTGGGCATTTAAATGTTGAGTGTGCATTTTTTTTCTTTCAATACCCCTAACCCTAACCCAAAAGAAAAGATGTCTTGTTTTACCACAAACATAATCAATAAATCAAATTTATTTACAAAGCATAATTCATACAGTGTAACCCAAAGTGCTTCACAAGCAATTAAAAGACATACAATAAAACATAAAACATACACAATTTCAGAATGTAACCAGTTTTTTTACCAAGGTATATTTCTAAAACAAATGGAGCACTCGTCTTAAAACTTATTTACAAATGAGACTTGACTCTAACTCTGACTCTACAGCCGTTTTCACATTGAAGGCGATAAGTTAGATGTGTAGTCATTGTGCGTCATGAGCGCTTTGGATGTGCGAATGACAATCGCTGGTAAGATGGTTTGGTTGCTGCAATATTCACGCAGCTGAAGGTGTCAGTTCTCATCCGTTCAACAAAAGGCATAATCCTGCTGCAAACATGGACTATACGTGGTTTTGGAACACAACTTATAACAAATATGTTATCAGTTGTGTGATGAATCTAATCAGTTGGAAGTATAAAGCCCCTCCCTCCACTCATCACCAACCACACTCATACTAGGCAATGTGTGTTGGTACTTCCCTGCTTAGCTTCTGAGGCCTGACAGGATGAGGCTTTCACATGTAGATGGGACAAAACTGGTGGTAATGAGTTTCTGGTAAAGAACGTTTGTGTAAAGCTGTGATGTTAGATAACTAATTAGAAAAAATCAGAGGTGAAAAATACATGAATGTAAATAAACGACCAACGTAAAGCCTTTTCACTGACCTGTACGCATAAATATTGTGAGTGGCGCTGGCAATCTTCTTGTTCTCATAGAGCTTCTCGAGGACCATTTTAACCTGCAACTCACAGAAATAACAGAGGTCACGACACAAATCCGCTTTGCAAACTGGAATAAAAAAAGTGAGAGCAATGGTGCAGACACACAGAGAGATCCTGATGCACCTGAGATACTAAGAGTCTACTTTATGTGAGTAAAGGTATAATACACTAGAGGTCGACTGATTATCGGCACTGCATCAACCAATATTGATATACAGTATATCTCACGCGCCTTCTGCACAACCGCGCTCATGAGGTGATTATACTGCTTCTGTTACCGTGTATGTGCCTCAATGTCTGATTATTTTAGTTTGGTTTATTTCGGCCAAAATTACAGGACACTTTATTGAGCTAAACTTACATCAAATAAAAGCTAGCCTCAGTTACTTGGTAGATCTTTCCACCGCACTGATCTACAGCAATGAATCATTCCTATTCTACTATTAAATCACATCTAGTCTGTACATCATATCATATTTGTCTCGGATTCAGAATCTGGGTGCTCACCTAGATCATAAGAAAGTACTTCTGACAGGTGTTCTTCAAGGTTCTTTGTGTATTTGTGATAATAATGCGCAATGAATACACTTTGGTAGACAAAAGGTGTCGACTCAAGGCCTTAAAGAAAGCCTCAAACCTTCTTTTCTTTCTTTAACTTTTTTATTCATATCTATTTGTTTAGCACAAACATATCATTCAGACATTTAAAAAATGTGTTGGAGGTTCTGTTTACTAACTTTTGAATAATTTAAAAAACATTCACCTCAAATGAATTTTTTAAACATGATTTCTTGCATGAAAGAGCTCCACAAACAAGCACTTTAGTCAATTCAATGTATATTTGTATAGGCTTAAATCACTGTAGTTGTCTCTGGCATATTGGCCGGCTGGGAAGAAGTAAACAGCCCACCGGATATAATTTTTTGAGAGTTGTGAATAATTGTTACATCCCGAGAAGCTTGCAATAAATTTTACTTTTGTGATGCACATTTAAGGTCAACCAAAATCTATATCAATTCTAAACAGACCCAATTTAATGAGACACACACTCAGAGGGCGGAGAAGTTAAGCAGCTGCTCCTGTCGCTGCTCTCCCTCCTCCTTCTTAAGACTACTCGACAAAAGGCGCCAAAGACAAATGGTCACAAACTGAAACATTACATTTCTTTTAAGCATCTTGAACTTTGATTACAGCATGTATGTACATATGCACAGTGGCATCGTCTCAATAAGCCAGAGTAGAGGAGCTTGTTGTGTCAAAAGATGTATCTCCACACACTTTTCATTTTGATGAAGGGAGCTTGAAAACACTGTGACAAATTTTCCCTGGACTGTTGACCAATCCATTTGTGTTATGTAATGTCCCAAGCTCCCTGAATCACTCTCTCACAATGCTCGATGAACACTGCCATTGTCATCTTGGAATATGTTCAGGCTCTCAGGAAAGAATCCAATGACAAAATTCAGGATGTCCGGGTGGCCAGACGACCTTTTTCTTTAGATCAACAAAAATAAAGCTTTTTCAGGAGTTGCCTCACCCTGATCACAAGTCTGAGTCTTATGTTTTATGGAACATTTGAGGACCATTTTCCCATTGAAAAGATACATTATGTTTGTGTTCAAATCACGGCTCAAAGAGTTTGCAATTCTATTGTTAAAGTGCTGTTGAATAAAATACCATTTATAGATTTAGGGGATGCAGGATAAAAGTTAGATGTCTTAATAGTCTCAATTCATGAATCATAGCCCAATTAAAACTGCTGCATGATGAAACAGACTACAAGTGCCAATTCACACAACATATTTAAAACTCGCTGGCCTGTTATTTCACAAAAATCTCATCCAGCACTTTGGCTCTTCACTAATTCAGGGGGAACTTAAAAGCTTGCACCTGCTGTGGAAGGCTTTCCAAATGTTTGCAAATACAGTCCTTTGGAGACCAAATGAAATGTCACATTTCCTGATTTTGATACTATTATTTTTGTTATCTCAAACTTTTCTTATAAGCCTGGAGGCTACAGTCCATGTTGGCAAAGCTCCCCTTTTATTCAAGCATTTACAAAGTCCTATTTAAGCTAGGAATTACAGTTAGCACATACAATGTGTTTATTGATGAGTTTTAAATTTTATGTATCTAAAACACCACTATGTTTAAGCAGTAAACACCATTGTCATATGTCTATAAGTATGAAGGTTTTGATTCATGTTATTAATGTTGAACATTTGCTACAAGTGATAAAACTGGATATTACAAAGACTTGCTAATTTTAAACACTTTGAAGGAGCATTACAAATCCACATGGCTTTTTCGTGCAAAGAACATTGCAGAATAGAAAGAAAATAATAAAAGTGATAAAGATTGAGCCTAATTATTGCTTTTGTGGAAGTTTTAACATGACTTTATGCGTATTACAATCTATAAGGATCCATCTCAAAATAGATTTTTACCCTTGAAAAGCTGAGTAATGCTGTTTTTGGGGGGAGTCAGCAACATCATAAAGATAGCTTGCTCATGTCACTGCATTTTCACATAGCCATCATTTTAGTTTTGATGTACTTGGTGAATTGAATGTCTTCCAACATAAGTGCAAAAATGCTGTAAAGTGCTTGAGGTTCAACATAAAAGTACAAAATACATAAAAAAATGTAAGCACTCATGAGGTCCTTGGAATCTTAAAACACCGCTGGATTCAGTCATCTGGACCCAAACCAAATATGATAATGATTATGGTAATATGGTACTTTACTGCAAGGTCAAGTTTTTTTTAATCTAATTTTGCATTTAGATCCAGGTGCAAAAGAAGTGAATCCTCATGTGTGAGTGTGACTGTGGTCCGGCTTGAGTGAGTGCATTGGTTCTAGCTGTGCCTAGAGCATGAGCAGGAGCCAGCCCCATGCTCAGCTTACAGTATATCTAAGATTTATGGGGGGAGTGAGAGTATCCAAATTGAACAGTGCTGTGAAGGAGTTAAGAGTTATCAAATGGCACAACTTGAGTGCATAGCTTTGCATTTCATTAATATTGTAAAGTATAACTTAACTGTACGCAGCACAATATTAAGGACAGAAACATTAATACAAAACAACAATTTACAGTGAAATGCATATTGGACAGTAATGGCCTGTACCTGCCTCGGTGTTACGACGGCGGCTAAATGCGGCTGGAAAGTGCTCCGTCGGTCTGTGATGGCATTACTGTGTTTTATTGGTGGCATCTCGTCATCTGGATAATAAGATTGAAGTTTTAATATATTCACGAACACTTCTGCTTGTACATAACAGTACAGTGCTCATCAAGCTGTACCATCTGAATGGTCCATAAAATAGTGTGCGTCTTCTGTCTGTTTAAGACAGTTGAAGTCAGGAGTCCCTTCACCATCCTCCATCACTTCCTCTTCTGTTTTTATGTTGGTGTTTTCAGTTTGGAGATTGTCTGCAACAGAATCAATGCAACAAAACAAATTCTGGTCAGCCATCTTGTGTTTCTTACAATTACACATACATACAGAATGTGTGATAAAGAGGTAGACCACTCCAAATCTAAAAAATAAACCAATTAAACTCAATGATAAAACATTTGTTAAGAATGATGGGTTGGCTTGTTCAGTATGGGGGGAGGGAAATCATGATTCTTTCATCCTCATATTGAATGACTTCGATCTTTGATTCAAAAGAATCCACCCTCTAGCGTTTAGTTAGAGATGATAGAAACTGTGTAATCTGTAAGACATATTATTGTATCTGTTCATTAAAAAACATTTATGGTGTCATTTCTTGCTAATTGTATTGAAAAACCGTCAGGAAAATTTAGCTGGTTTTGGCACTAACAAACTGGCAACCCAAATGAGACCCTCATTCAGCGGATAATATGCTTATATATACTACCATATAAATATAAATAAATGGACCTCTGTCCAATATGCATTTCACAGTAAATTGTTTTTACTATACACTGAACAACTGATAAGTCTGACCTATTATCTGAGGACACATGAATGCTATTGATGTAGTTTGAAAGAATAATATTATATGCTGTCCTTTTCTAAGGTATAATATAAAATAATATGTGAAAAGCACATGAGTGAAGAGAGAAATGGACTCTATACCGGCCCCTTTCTGTTCATTTTTCCACCTTTTCAACGTCTTACACTGTTAGATTAAAATGCACAACATAAAGATTACAAACTTTCGATCTATCAATCTTAGTCATGCATGATTATCATTAACACTTGAGATGCATAGTTACATGGAGTCCTGATCTGAAAAGACTGAAATAGAATTATCAATTTTTCCCCCAAACCTTCTGAAGAACCTGAGTTTACACCTTGATATTAAAAATTCCTCCAGCTGAGCTGCTTATTGCCAAATTAACTCCAAATGACCTTTACTGACACTACAGCTCTCTCACGACCTATTACAGAAAGGCAAACATCTATAATAGATGACGTCTGTAGCTGGAGCCTCAGCTGCTTCAAGAAGAATGAAGATGCGGTGGAAAATAGAGAGACGCAGAGAGAGTCTGTTAGAGATAAAGAGATCCGTCATTGGTATTGATTCTACTATTGGATGGAAGGAAGAAAAGTGCTTATTATCGGTGTTCGTCTTCAATCTCTTTTTCAAACATAATATTGATACACATTTATTTTGAAAGTAATATATTCTTATCCTCATATCACACACATTGTTAATAATTATTGATCATAATAATAGAACATATTTACACAGATATAAAGTAATATAGTGTTTTTAATTTCTTAACAAATAGTTAAGTTTTTGTGGATCTAAGTCAGCTCACAGCAAGTGTTTGTATGCAATACAAATCAATTATTCCCCCACTTTTCTAATTAGAAAACTAAAGAAATGCATGAAAAGTTCATTGTCGTGTCATTTGAGCTGCGTTTTGGGTAATCGAGCCAATGCCCATGACCCTCATCAAACAAGCTCGATCAGACCCATTTCCTTCCTTTTTCTAAACTTTCTCTTTACTGATGCAAATGTGGGCATCACTTCAATCATTGCTTTCATTCACACACTTTCTGACTAGTCTTGCATTTGACAGAAGCCGCCATCTGTGCCCCACAAGTGAACCCTCTTTCAAAGGCATTTTCCTCTTTCAGATTTTTGCCCATACCAACTGTAATAGGAATCAACCAATGAATCAGCCACGGTCCATCTCAAAATGTCTCCTCCCTGGTCACAAAGCATGACCAGATGCTTCAGTGCTCAAAAGTGAAAAGATGATGGTAAAATCCGCAAATAAGGCCACATAATCAGTAAAAATATCCAACACGTTTCAGAAAACATCTGTGTGATTTTTAAAAGAGCTGATGCCGCTATTCAAGGACAACATGTCTATTTCACGCAGCGCCTAGGCTAGTTTTACTTGAGCCAAGGTGGTCCTCCTACTCATTGGCTCTGAATGAAAAACATGTACTGTAGTTACGTCAACGATAACTTAACACCCATGTGTTTCACCAGAGGAGACTTCAGTGTTTGCGCACAAAGTATCCTTAAAACTCAACTCGAAAAAAACTCAATTAGCAATATTCTAAACTTAAAGCTAAATCTTTTAGCTTTAACTTTTTAACTTTTTGCATGAAAAAAATGTATATTTAACCTTTATTTCTGTATTAAACTGTGACCCACTGGTTGTAGTTTCCAACATAGTTGTCTCTAGGATGCTCTAGGATCAATAGTTTGGAAGGTTTTCTCTGCTGAGGGACCGTCGCACCAGAAAACCTACCGAACAAGTGATCCTGTCAAACTGTAGATACAGCCGTGAAGTAGAGGCACCATCATGCCACTCTTACAGCCACTGGGTCACATATGGGGCCTGTGTCGTGTTTCTGTCTATTGTATGCTGCGTATAGTGTGGCGTGAGGGGGGGTTGGAATCGAAAAAGCGTAAGCTTCCTCCATCCTCTTTTCAAGTCACATGATTGTGAAGTGTAATTGATTGTGAATGTTATTTTTTCTTTACTTGAAATAAATAAATAAACAAACAAACACATAACGTGCAAAAAATGCAAAGTGTTATGTTAGCATAGCTTCCAAGGCTCCTGAATAAAAAAGTTGTAAGCTACTAAAGAACTACACTCAAATTTTTCATGAACATTAAAAACATTACTTTATTACTTGTGGTAGGAATTGGCCAAAATATGACGAGTCAATAGTATTGCAATATTTGGGCCAGAATTCAATCGTATTGCGATATAGCAAGTATTGCGATTTGATTCTGCAATATATTGCGACTCATGTCCCTTTTAGCATTCAAAGGCATTAAAAAAATTGAGGAAAATAAGACTCAACCCAAATGTCACAGTTATTGTGGTCTGCACATAAACTGAAGTGCAAAAAACTTATGAGGGAAGAGCAAAAACATTATCTTTGAACGTTAAATAATAATAATAATTCTCTGAATAGGCGACCTCTCAAATGAATGGTGGGCTCCCAGCACATAACGGTTTAATTTTTCAACTTAGATTATTCAAATGCAATAGACTAGAGTAACACAACGCAGATATATAGCAACAGAAACCTCAGATGTAAATGACCAAAGTGAACTTCAAGAAAACACAAAAGTGAAACAAATACTTATTTGATTAAATCAGCAATTCTTTGTTCTACTGCATCGATTCATCCCGATACTGAACAGAATCTATTTTTTCCTCCACCGCTATTTGCTATACAAAAGACCACTTCTCCCAAATACAGCGCCTGGAATGGAATACATTTTAGTATTCCTATCTCATTCCACAGTTTGTCAGCACCACAAACATTGTCATTATCCTTTTTATAAAGATATTTTTTTCATTGTAGGGCTCGCAAAAGTATTCAAACTCCATAAGTTAATACTGTGAGCAACCCCTTTTCTTTTGGGCTCTAATAGCTTTGCACATCTAGATTCTATTTTCTTCTTTGCATGCCAGCTCAAGCTCCCTCACATTGGATAGAGAGTGGTAGGTATTTCAATCTTGCCAGTTTCTGGATTGGATCATTCTGAACTTTTGCAAAGTTCATCATTTGAAAAATAAATCCTTATCTGACCACTGTCCTTTGGCTGAGCTAAAGTCTGGTAAATAACAGAATGCTTAATAGCAATACATCCTTTTTTATCTTTTGTCCTTTATTATTGCTGCAGTTATCATGCATTTTATTACGTGCCCAAAGGGTAAAAGCAAATTAGCATTTCAGCTATAATCTTGTTAACATCTGCTGCTGTTTATACTTATGTAAAATAGTAGGAAACAAGTCTGCAAACATGACAAGAATTGTTGATAAAACACTGTTGGCTCCAGTTGCAGTTTAACACCATCATGTTAAAGGTTGAAGGAATAATGTCTTGTGAAGCACCTTTAAGTGTTCGGAAAAGCACTATATTTCCCTTTTATGACATGGGACCCAAATCATTTGAACAGAAAGTTAAATAAATCCACAACAGCATAAGAAACTGGTTATTGTCCATATCACTTGTAAAATCCAAATCTATCCAAATAGAGTCTTGCAAGTAAACAAAAGAGTAGATAAAGAGATGTTTATTTTTTTATTTTTTTTAAAGTCAATTTGAATGTTTGTTTATTTAATATTTGCCATTTTGAATTTTGTTTTGAAACTTTATTTTACATGTTTATAAAAATGTAATAAACAGACAAACAAAATTCCCTTAGTCTATAGTTGTTAAGTGCTCCAGTATCTTTCTTTCTTTCTTTCTTTATTGTTTATTGAAACAGGGACAGCATGCAAAAAAAGACCCTGGCATTTTATAGGGAAATAAAACAAGAGATATGGCGAAGTGGCACAAATGGAGGTGGATTAATATAATGGATAATCCCTCATTTATATTTATGTGCCTGGCAGTTTTTTTCATTAATAATGTCTGCTGTTTATGCCCCGATAGATTTATCTTGTGGATTCAATGCATTTGAATAAAAGGATGTGGTGACTGAGTGAACAAACATCTGTCCTTCCTGTCTGTTTCATTCATCACAAACTTCATCACCAGAGCTATTATCTTGTTTTATTTCTTCGCCTTCTTTGTCATATTTTGACATTTTTCATTTCCTTTTAGCTGCAATATGCCTTATGTTTCCTTATCATATCCTGTTTCCTCAAGATGCTTGTGTTATTTTAACGATTTGAATAATATTGCATTGATGCTAGTTTTTTCTGCTTTCACTCCGTCCTATTATTGCTACATTCATTCCAAAGATTACTACTGATTATTACCTTTGATTAATTGAATAATCTATTAGTTCACTTTTTACATTGTTAGCTGCAAATAGATATAGAAGTATGATTCATAGACAATTCAAATGTTACAATAGGTCTGGCATGCGCCTCCTGTACTGGCGACCCCGCTCCCATCTCTGTGTGGAGTGAGAGACAAATGCCCAAAAAATAACAATTGTAAACCGCTTTGTGACTCTGGTCTGTGAAAGGCGGTATATAAAAGGATTACTTACTTACTTACAAAATATTATATTACATAGAAATATCTTTAACAAGTGGCAACATTGGATCTGTGGACTTGAAGAGCCGGGTATCTGTCAGAGCCCGCCTATTCAATACGCTATTTTAATCACGCACCTTTTAATTTGATAAAAATATATTTCTAAACGATAGGATACAGTTTTATAAAAAAAAAAAAAAAAAAAAAAGGCCTTATCTAACGCGCCGCTAAATTATAACCAAACTACAACACTATTGATGCAATTATATTTCACTTATTGAAAAAAAAAAAATCAATATTAGTAAATAAAACATCTATATTGTATATGAATGACTCAAAATAGCACACCCCTAGTGCTGGATGTGAAACAGCTCCATATAGTTTTTGTAATCAACGAATTAAATTAACCCGATGAATGGTTTCGGCCCTAAAGTCACACTTTCTATGCTCTTCTATGTTTGTCCATCTTGAACACAATTCACAGAGAGTGCGGAGCCAAAAGAAAGCATGACCTAGATATTGATCTTAATTCTGCACAGTCACTCAATGCCTGCCCCAAAAACGTTTGAATAATGTCCAACAGACCTCCAAGCTTATCTTACCTGTGACTCAGACCAAATCATGATTGTGTGACAAATAGAAGAAAGGCCTTCCAAATCAAAAGACAGACATGCCAAACAACTCGAGTTTGGACATACAATAATTGGATCTGGTGGTGATTGAATGTTTTAATTAAGACTTCAACTCTGTTTTATTGGCTCACTAGTGGAACAACTTTTAATCTAGTGATTCTCCTATAAGTCTGTAATAAATGATCTAGTATTAAGTAAGGTGGTGGAGGGACATGCAAAGAAGTGTGCAAAGAAATATTGTGTGATGAAGAGGGATAAGTTCAGCTGCACAAATCTCTTGCTCCTGAACAGATTCAAGATTCAATATACAAGATTTGTTTATTCCTCTCCTTTAGGAAATATTTGGTTCGGTGAGATTGATGGATCCGTTACATTTCCAAGACAGTACAAAACCCAAAAAATATTTTATCATCATACTCAGGCTGGGTATATATCAAGTAAGATACATTTTGTGGCCCCATCTACATGAAAATATAAGAAATGCACAGCCCAACTTCAAAGACTGCACTTCAGAGGAGAATAATAATGTGACAGATTACGATCATTTGTCCAAAAGATGAAACTATTGTGTTAAATCAAAGGGTGCGGCAAAGTCTACTTCCGTGTCTGAGTGTGAAAGAATGTCAAAAAGATTGATACATTTCCAGTGTCTGTGTGGCCCTCAAGCATGACTTTCATTTTCCACACATCACCTGATTCCGCGCTCTGGGATTTCTCAACAAGAAATTCTCGGACGTTTTCCACCCACAGGTACAGGATGCTCTCCCCGGCATGTTGCCTGTTGAATAGATAACATTTAAATGTTTCTGAGAGACACTGACACCAATGTCCACACACAAAACACAATGGTGAAAAGCTTTTTTGGTTTGTCCTAATTATGTTGCCAACAATGCTCCCTACTGAAGTCACAAATTATGAGCAGCACTCACACATAGAGGTCTTCCAGGCTGTTTGCCAATTTGGCCCTCTCAGGTCCTCGCAACCACGCCGCACTACAAAAGCCAAGAACAAACAGAGGGTTATTGAGTAGGGCCTCAAGTGGGCTTTTGAGTGGGATGTTGTTTTATCAATTCACCGACTTCCACAAGATTAAATTTGAAAGGCAAATAGACTTACTTGATTTGGTATATGGGAGGAGCATGGCTGGGGTAGTCCGCAGGGAGGATGATCTGTCGAATGTAAAGATGAAGATGACCAAGAAGAAATACATGGGGACAATAGCAGCTTATATTTACCTGAAGACATGCAGTCAGTTTTGGATTCTCAAAGTCGTCTGAAATTTTTATGCAAAATATCCTCGAGGCTTCATCTATGACACACCATTCATCGCCATAGATGGACGACAGCGCTTCGACTTCTTCGATCTATTTGAGACAAAATCAAACTGTCAATGTAAAAAGTGATCAAACAATCACATGCATGTGTAATTACACTACAAAAATACAAAATACATATCACAGAAAATGTTTGAATGTAAAAAAGTTAATCACACATTATTCCGCGTTGAGCTCTGTTTTTGATTATTGGGATACATTCACATTCTTTTACATAATACTTGGAGGCAGCTAGTAACACGCACACACACTCACACACACACACACACACACACACACACTCACACACACTCACACACACACAGATGGAAAACATTGCTGTGCAGGTGTAACCAACTGAGGAATCCTTCAGTCTTGTTGTCAGACTGAGATTATATAAATTGTCTTGAATTCAGAATTTACAGGAATAGTGACCTGAATCTAAGTATGAATAAGTTACATTATCATTTTGGCTGAAAATGGATTAATGTATAAATGGGATGTTTATGATTAATGTACATTGTTTACACTTATTATTGAAAGTATTGAAATTGCCTAGTCAATTGCGAAGTCACGTCCATCACAGTAATATTGAAGGATCAGTATTTTGAGTACAGCCATAGTGTCACCTCATGGTGCTAATTGTTGTCAGTTGTTTTGTGCCCCAGATTTGATTGTAAAACTTGTTGTTGTGCAGCCTTAGAGGACGGAGTAACACCTGCTGAGATTCAGACATCACAAGTGTTAATGAACCCCATACCTCAGGGACATTTCAGAAGTGTTTCCCTCAGTGGTCTGACAGAGATGGATAATTACTTGTTATTATTATATCTCTCTCTGGAAAATACAGAAAAAGTGCTATCACACTTTGACCACTTTATCCCAGGATGGTTTCTTTCACATCTGAGCCGAACATGAGCTGTGCACTCAGGCTAGCACACAATCAGCCTATTTATTTGATGCTGAGGAAGTTGCAAGACGTAGAAAAAAAGAAAATCTATATCAAATTGATCTAAGGTATATAGATTTCAGAATAATGATAGACAGTAGGGCTGCACAACCTATCGAGAAAGTATTGTTATCGCGATATTGGTGCGTGCGATATCCATATATTTTTTTTATATATATATATATATTATTCATTTATTTATTTTTGTTTATTAAAGACACCAAAACAGACAGGCACATCAACATTCAACAAATACAACAGACAAACAAAAAGGTATGTAAGTATATGCATTTGAAGGTCATTAATGTTTTTGTTATTTCATTTCATTTTCATTTTATTCATTTAAAAAACAAATGCAACAACAGCATTTACTATTAATGAAAAGGAGCAGAAAGAAGAAAAAACGTATAATATCTACCCCCTATATGAACACAAAATCATTTACAGTTCCAGTGCATTTGAGCACTGGAATTTATTTGTCTCTTGCGTTTCAATGCAGATTGCAATCTTAGGTGAAAGAAAAAATTATTGCAATATTATCGTTATCGTGATACTAAACACTCATATCGAACATCGCTCTAATATCCGATACAACAAGCCTCACACTTTTACAGCTATACCCAGCTTTGGACCCCTCCCTACTCCCTTCTCCCTCCGTCCTCACTCCCTCTAAGTCTTTCCTGCTCATCCCCCCTCCCTCACCTAGCCCCCTCTGACGACCCACATTGGCGAAGGGTGGCCGGAGTTTACTTCCATAATTAAAACGTCCGTGTTTTATCCAAAACATAATGTGTCTTATCCAAACTGTCTTGTGATATGTACAGTGCCTTGCGAAAGTATTCGGCCCCCTTGAACCTTTCAACATTTCGCCACATTTCAGTCTTCAAACAAAGATATACAATTTAAATTTTTTGTCATGAATCAACAACAAGTGGGACACAATCGTGAAGTGGAACGAAATTTATTGGATAATTTAAACTTTTTTAACAAATAAAAAACTGAATAGTGGGGCGTGCAATATTATTCGGCCCCTTTACTTTCAGTGCAGCAAACTCACTCCAGAAGTTCAGTGAGGATCTTTGAATGATCCAATGTTGTCCTAAATGAGTGATGATGATAAATAGAATGCACCTGTGTGTAATCAAGTCTCCGTATAAATGCACCTGCTCTTTGATAGTCTCAGGGTTCTGTTTAAAGCGCAGAGAGAACCATGAAGACAAAGGAACACACCAGGCAGGTCCGAGATACTGTTGTGGAGAAGTTTAAAGCCGGATTTGGATACAAAAATATTTCCCAAGCTTTAAACATCTCAAGGAGCACTGTGCAAGCAATTATATTGAAATGGAAGGAGTATCAGACCACTGCAAATCTACCAAGACCCGGCCGTCCCTCCAAACTTTCATCTCAAACAAGGAGAAGACTGATCAGAGATGCAGCCAAGAGGCCCATGATCACTCTGGATGAACTGCAGATAACTACAGCTGAGGTGGGGATGGTGTGTTCAGGGTGATGAGCTGTGTTGCTTTTACGCCAAACATATCGTTTTGCATTGTGGCCAAAAAGTTCGATTTTGGTTTCATCTGACCAGAGCACCTTCTTCCACATGTTTGTGTCTCCCAGGTGGCTTGTGGCAAACTTTAAACAAGACTTTTGGATATCTTTGAGAAATGGCTTTCTTCTTGCCACTCTTCCATAAAGGCCAGATTTGTGCAGTGCACGACTGATTGTTGTCCTATGGACAGACTCTCCCACCTCAGCTGTAGTTATCTGCAGTTCATCCAGAGTGATCATGGGCCTCTTGGCTGCATCTCTGATCAGTCTTCTCCTTGTTTGAGATGAAAGTTTGGAGGGACGGCCGGGTCTTGGTAGATTTGCAGTGGTCTGACACTCCTTCAATTTCAATATAATTGCTTGCACAGTGCTCCTTGAGATGTTTAAAGCTTGGGAAATCTTTTTGTATCCAAATCCGGCTTTAAACTTCTCCACAACAGTATCTCGGACCTGCCTGGTGTGTTCCTTTGTCTTCATGGTTCTCTCTGCGCTTTAAACAGAACCCTGAGACTATCAAAGAGCAGGTGCATTTATACAGAGACTTGATTACACACAGGTGCATTCTATTTATCATCATCAGTCATTTAGGACAACATTGGATCATTCAAAGATCCTCACTGAACTTCTGGAGTGAGTTTGCTGCACTGAAAGTAAAGGGGCCGAATAATATTGCACACCCCACTATTCAGTTTTTTATTTGTTAAAAAAGTTTAAATTATCCAATTTTGTTCCACTTCACGATTGTGTCCCACTTGTTGTTGATTCATGACAAAAAATTTAAATTTTATATCTTTATGTTTGAAGCCTGAAATGTGGCGAAATGTTGAAAGGTTGAATACTTTGAATGCTTTCGCAAGGCACTGTATGTTACTGCTCTCTGCTGTTTATTCTACTGTTTGTTGCATGGTGCCTTAAAGATGGCGTCGTGGCAAGAGCTCTGGTGTGTATCGTCTTCTCTGTCTGGTGCACACTGGGGAAGTCTTGCACAGATTTTCCAATGTGGTTTTACTGCAAATGGCAAATAAATGAATCTGAATCTGATATCGTACAGCCCTACTAGACAGTAAAAAAAAAATCTCCCCCAAGATGCACCTAAATATATGCTGGTGATATAACTGGACCTCTGGGAGCAGAGATTAATGGACTCGTGGACAATTTAAATCTGTAGATTATTTCCATCCTTGGCATGGGCTTGCATCTTTACCCTTTACAAACATGCACCTCTGGCATACCTTATCCGATTCAGCATTGTGTTTCTGTCCACAACAGTTGCTGCTTTCATAATTTATTGTAAATGGTTTATGTTGAACTGTGTTTGCAATTCTGAGCAACTTTATCTGATTGTATATTTATACGCTGTAATCCTGAACACCACAGTGTGGTAGAGTCAAGAATCTAGATGCTGACCCCACTAGTTAAACCAAAGTGATGAAAGCGTAGGTGTTTTTACTGCATAATAATAACTGTATGGACTTTGAGAGTTGGCCTAATGGATGACTGACTGTAAATCAATTGTACTGTAACCTATTCGGGTCAGAATGTATTTGCCTCATCTTATGTGGACCCCTATGTGCTCCCCCTTTGGACATGATGTAGAGCCGCCACTGGCGTTTATAACGCTATTATATCCATAGTGGTACCAGAAATGAGCAAATTACAATGGCTTAACGAGCTTTGATAACATACTCAATGTTTTGTTTTACATCTCCCTCATAACCCACTGATCCACAGAATAGTTGTCTAGTACAAAAGTTCTGAAAAGCGTCTTACTTGAGACTGCAGGTCTTCACCACTCCACTGGTCAGCCATTAATTTACACTCTGAAGCCACGCATTTTATAACACTACACCTTGTGAAAATAGGAATAAAAGATAGATACCACACTACATGTGAAACACATGTTAACAACAAGCTAAGGTGAAGCTCGCCGGCGAAAGAAAATACAGCATACTGTACTTCCGGGCGAATGAAAATGGAAAACAAAATATATATTGACAAAAGAAATCATCAAAAAATATAGAATATGTCCAAGTTTCAAATTATTGTCCCCCCTTACGTTTTACTTACGTTTTTTACTGGAAATATGTATTGTCAAATATGATATCATAATAGTAATATTAATATAGTATCTAAATTAACAAATCTTAAACACATAATTAAATTAACAAATATTGACTGGGCTTACGTTGTCAGGTATAAACATGTGATCAGATAATCACAGAGGGTAAATGAAAACATAACATAAGTTGGTAGGGGGAGTCTATAGGGAAATGTGAGGCTTTTACGCTGAAAGGTGCCGGTGCGTTGAAACACGACTTCCGCTTGAGAAAATCAGCTGATGTGTAAACAAGAGGCGTGTGTTGTCTGCTGTTTGACTGTTTCGCAAGTGGTCAGCTCCACATGACAACTGAAGTCTCCACTGCGGAAATGTGACGTGTGCTTTGTGTGTGAGTGGTGAAAGTTTGCAGACCAGAATGAGCCGTGCTGGTACCGTCACGGCGAGGAGAAGGAGGCGGCAGCGGCTACTTTAGTTGGGGGCAATCCAGACAAGGCTCAGAGGGGTTTAACATCACATGCTGCTGCAAACAAGGCCTGTGTGAGCTGTCCTGCCCACACTGCTGGAATTCACTACTCAAGACTGAGTCAAGCAGTAAGTTTATCATGCCAAATGTTGTGCTGCTACTACAGGTTACGATTGCATTTGGACATAGTCTTTTGGCAGAAAATAAAACATTATCATCTCTAATGCAACTTCCTGAATAAATATTCTTGCAGACAAGACATCTATTCAACTTTATCTTATGTAAAACGTTCCTAGCATTGAGTTCTGTATTCATATTCATGAGCCTTAATGATAAGTGTAGCTCAGAACTGCTCAGAGACACAGTCACACTCAAAAACACAGATGAGACAACTCATTTTCTCAATGAGAGTGTTGTCTATCCAATAATATGAATATGTATCAAATCCAGTTAACACGTGGGTTATTATCTATAATTTGTTTATTTGTCTTTGCCTCTGAACAATGCTGCAGTCACATGCTGTAGTGCCAGGTAAACCTGTTTGATAACCAGCCCAGCCTTTTGTATCATGCACCTACACTTTTCTTAAACTTTTACTGACATCAGACATAGATTGGCATGGATTTCACTAAGAGTGACTTTTAATTTTTTGTAATGTTTTCACTTTCTGGAATGAATAAGATATGACTACAAACATATTTTGCTTGTGCGCAAAAGTTATTTACAGTACGTATGCTTATGAACAATATAAAATAGTGGTTTGGTTTATTGTATATTGTTATTTCATCATTTCTGTTGTGTTTATTATTGTGTTTTGTTGAATTAGTGAATAAATAACTATGTGACGTTTGTGTATAGACATGTCATGTGAACTAACAAATTTGAAAGTGCATGTTTCCTTCCTGTCAGGCTTGTCCTGTGACTGATGACTATGGCAAAAGTGTTGTACAAATCATTGTAGCCATTTTTGTCTGGAGCCAATCATAACATCTCACAAAGTCATGCATTTTGCTGTCCAGGTGTGGATGGAGGATTTGGAGCCAGAGGAACAGTTTCTGCATTGTGCTCGGAATGGAGACCTTCTTGGCATCAAGAAACTCTTGTTGTCTAGATCTAGGCAAGACATTAACATCAACTGTAAAGGTACGGATAATACACTGACACTTGTAGAAGGAAAATACATGTTTGGTAATACTAATAACTATTTTAACTATTTAAATAGCCAAAGATAAAGAAAAGAAAAACAGAGTAAAACATAATTATGTGTATGTAATCTACTTTATGTTGTATGCGCTTAGTCTTATTGTCTTATCTGTTGCATTTTCAAGGAAAGAGCAAGTCTAATCTAGGATGGACGCCACTTCATTTGGCCTGTTACTTTGGACACAGAGATGTTGTGGAAGAATTACTTAAAGTATGTATAATATGAGAGGGAAGAATGAAAAACTTAATCTAATGATTCTAATGTGTCTATTTCTTTAGGCAGGGGCCGATGTTAATCTACCAAATAGTATCGGAGATACACCACTTCACAAAGCTTCCTTTACAGGCCGAAAGGTAAAAAGTTCAAATGGTTTAGTTTAACATATACATGTACATTTATTCATATGATCAAACCATGTCTCAGGAGGTTGTGATGCTGCTGCTGCACTATGATGCCTGTGCCACTGTCATCAATGGGACCGCTCAGATTCCCAAAGATGTCACTCAAAACCCTGAGATCAGAAGCATGTTGGAAGGTGACACACTTGCCACATCTTTAAATCTTCATTAAAGCGCATGTATATATTTTTGTACTTTTACATTATCATTAATATTAGCTGCTGAGCGGACAGAGGAGAGAAAGCTTGGGAACAACCTTTTGGAAGCGGCAAGAGAAGGAGACTTGCCCACACTTACTCAGTTGGTGAGTGCATTAACAGTTGCATGAAAAGTGCATTAACACTTTTAAAACAGTTGATGTAATGCTGCAAAATGTATATAATTAAACAAGAACAGATGCTACCTATGAGCTTTCACCTGGAAACAATCATCTGTTTTTTATTAATATTATTCCATTAAATCTGAGAAGGCTTAGTGCTCTTTCTGATGATAATTATTCTTGTGCAAATGTGTTGCCATTGCTCTCTATATTAATTAAGTCTTCTCATTAAAAAACAGAGAGCTCCTCAAGCAAGACTGAACATACAGGAATTTGAACTATCCAAATGATTGAATTAGAATTGAGTAAATCAGGGAGATAGGACATGTTTACTGCTTTTGGGGGGGAAATTGTGAATGAAGGGGGAGAAGCTGCCAATGAAGAGGAAAAACAATGACGAGATTTATGGACTGAAATTACTTTGAACAACAATGGTTTAGTGGTTAGTGTTAAAGTTTAGATGGTGGCAGGTCAGCTTTTTACTTGCGTTCATAAAAATGTATTTATTCAATTTCTCAATAACTTTCATTCCATATTAGACAAGCATGTCTAAGGGAAAAAAAAGTTTTACAAGCACTAAAATCTTCCATAATTGAAGAAGTTTTAAACCAAACTGAGCAACATTTCAAGAAAACATATTTATCACCAGAGGCCGGAATCAGACCACCAGTGTGCATTACCACTAGGACTGTGGAGGAATCTACCTTTTTAAATATACTCTTGAGTACAATTCTATATATTATACAGTTCAAAGTTAAACAGATTTGTGACTAATTCAAAATGTGCCAAAAGCATCAACAGCAATATTTATCGTCTTGTAAGGCACAAGGCTAATTGCTCCTGCGAAATATACAAATCAAAATGTTCTGCTTGGGTGTTATCCTGAATAATAACCTGCTACACTGCTCCATCTGTTCGTGTTGCATGTGTTTGGCTTCAGCTCAGCAGGAAGAAGCCCCCAGACATCAACTGCACAGATCTGCTGGGTAACACGCCACTGCACTGCGCAGCCTATCGTGGGCAGCGGCAGTGCGCCCTAAAGCTGCTCAAGTGCGGAGCCAGTCCCAGCTTCAACAACAAGCAGGGTATGGCACATTCTCTTTTATAGCAGGAACCCTATATGACCTATTCTGATATACAGTATCATATGGGTTGTGAGGCGCCATGTTATATGGGTTGTGAGGCGCTTTGCGTTGCCTTGTGTAGGAAAGGCGCTCTATAAATAAACGTTGATTGATTGATTGATTGATATACAGTATAAGCTGTGCCATGATGATGAAAAGATTATATCAGGTGATTTCAGCCCATGTCAGATATCAAGATTATCAAGCCCAGTATTTTTTCATAATATGACTGACACCATTTTTTTTTTTTCTTCTTACTAGATTAACCGGTAGTTTCCAATATGAGAGGTTCAGCTGCTGAAAACATACAAAATATTAAAATATTTGACAATGATTTATCTTCAAAACAGTATTTGAAAGTGTTCCTTTAAATCAAGTCCAACAATGAATGTATATATTACTACGAGGAATTATGTACATGAAACAGCTAAAGCTACTTTACAATGTCTGTTGAATATACTTTTAAAAGTGTTGTCTATTGAAGTTCAAATGTAAAGATGAAGTGTTGTAAGAATACCCTCAAAAGTGCAGCATGACTAATATTGTGGTCATCTCTACTCGACTATTAATTAGCCAAGGCAAGGCAAGTTTATTTGTATAGCACAATTCATACACAAGGCAATTCAAAGTGCTGAACAAAATAAGAAAGCATTAAAAACATAAATAATCACAGAACATTTAAAAGAAAGATAAAAATATAAAATCCCTCAGTTGTATGCACAGCTAAACAGAACTGTTTTTAACCTGGTTTTAAACATTGTCAGAGAGGAGGCCTGTCTCACATCTTCATGAAGATTGTTCCAGATTTTAGCAGCATGAATCTGAAAAGCAGCCTCCCCATGTTTAGTTTTGACTCTGGGCACTAACAGGAGTCCAGTCCCTGTGCTCCTCAGAGTCCGGGCTGGTTCGTATGGGACTAACATGTCACTAATATATTTTGGTGCGAGGCCATGGAGAGACTTGTACACAAGCAGAGCTGTTTTAAAGTCTATTCTCTGAGCCACAGGAAGCCAGTGCAGAGACCTGAGGACCGGACTAATGTGGTCGTACTTCCTGGTTCTAGTCAGGACTCGAGCTGCTGCATTTTGAATGTACTGCAGCTGTTTTACAGCCTGTTTGGACAGACCTGTGAGCAGGCCATTGCAGTAGTCTAACACCTACTGGAGACAAATGCATGGATAAGAATCTCCAAGTCTGCTTTAGACACTATGTTTTTGATCCTGGCAATGTTTTTTAGATGGTAAAAAGCTGCTGATGTTACTGATTTAATGTGGCTATTAAAATTTAAGTCTGAGTCCAGTATTACCCCTAGATTTCTGACCTTGTTTGAATGTTTTAGGGAGAGAGACTGTAGATGACAGATGACGCTCTCTCTTTGTTTCTGGGGACCAAAGACAATCATTTCAGTTTTGTCTGCGTTTAGCTGAAGGAAGTTGTTTTGCATCCACTCACTGATCTGTTGGATACAGTGAAGGAGTGAGTCCACTGGTCCATGTTCTCCTGCAGTCAGTGAGACATAGATCTGAGTGTCGTCTGCATAGTTATGATAGGACACTTGGTTTTTGCGTATTAACTGACCTAACGGCAGTATGTAGAGATTGAACAGATGAGGTCCGAGGATCGACCCCTGTGGTACTCCACAGGTCAGGGCCATATGATCTGAGACACAGTTCCCAATCTCCACAAAGTACTTCCTGTCTTCAAGGTAAGACCTAAACCAACTTAGAGCGGTGCCAGCGACACCAACCCAGTCCTCTAGTCTCTGCAAAAGGATCTCATGGTCGACAGTGTCAGATCTAACAAGATTAAGATTGAGACTTTGCCTGCGTCATTGTTCAGCCGGATATCATTTGTTACCTTGACGAGGGCAGTCTCAGTGCTGTGGTGGGGTCTAAAGCCGGACTGAAACATATCAAATGAGTTGTTGATTATAAGAAATCTAGTAAGCTGTTGGTAGACAACTTTTTCAAGGACTTTCCCCATAAATGGCAGATTTGAGATGGGACGATAGTTGCTAAGTACCATGGCATCTAGACTGCTCTTTTTTAGCAGGGGCCTGATGACTGCCGTTTTCAGGGCCTTTGGGAATATTCCAGAATGAAGGGACATATTTACTATCTGTGTGAGTGAAGGTAACAGACTGCTTAGAACAGACTTAAGAAATCTAGTGGGTAGTACATACAGGCTGCATGTGGAGGAGCTCAGACTTGAGATTATCTCTTGGACGGTTTTATAATCTACAGGTGCAAAGTGAGTTAGCTCAGAGAGCCTTTCTGGCTGTTTTATCGTTATTTGTGGATTGGAGACAATGGCGTTTTTGATGCCTTGAACCTTGTCATGGAAAAAATGTGCAAACTCATTACATTTTAGTTTGGAAGTTAGCGCTACTGGCAGCTGAACAGGGGGGTTTGTTAATCTATTAACTGATGAAAACAGAACACACAGATTGTTACTGCAGCCTTCAATCATTTCAGCAAAATACCTTTCTCTCGTATTATGTAGCATCCGGTTAAACACGCACAAATTATCCTTGAATATCCTGTAATCAACCTGGAGGTTGGACTTGCGCCACTTCCGCTCGGCCCTCCGGCACTTTCTCTTCTGTGCCCTGACTGAGTCTACTTAATTACCAGTTTATTAAAGTGGGGTTGATAGCATTTACAGGCTCACAGTTTATACCTAAATCATGGATCACAATTGGATCCATGTCAAAATACAGGGTCTCATAAATAAGGGTGCATATTGAATACTTACTTGCAGTATTTTAGCGGCCCTGCTCTGCTTATCGTCCGGCTGCCCCTAGCATGTCCTTAGCCATCCGTACACTCCGTTCAATCATAATTTCACTGCATGTAACGTCTGGGTCTCGTCCCTGTGTTAGCGATTCCAATCGGTTGAATTTCGACCGACCATTCAGAGAGCCCGGAAGGCCGGTGTTGTAGTTAGTTGTGGGTGATGTCAAGAGTTTGCGTCGAACGGGCAGGTTGTAGTTTGGTAATGGCAAAAAATGCTATATTAAAGTAATCCGGTCTGGTTCTATCAAGAAATTGAAGCCGGAGCAAGGGTAATGTTTCGCAAATGTAATCGCTGGAAAAATTGTAGCGCTACTCCCCACGGGCTCTGTTAGCGGCAAAGGAGATGGCTAGGCTAAATGCTAACAACAGACTTGGGCGCATTACATACGTCACGGTAAACTCAGATCCAATCGTTTCAATCTGCAAAAGGAGTTAACCCCTCCCATCTGTAAACAGAGCTCAATGGAGCAAATCCAGACCTTAGTATGAAATGTCACTTGTACTATGGTGTGGTACGACCAGGCTAGGCTGCCCCACAATGTATGTTCTATTTTATATTGTTTCCTGTTATACACATTTTTATTTACCTATCTCTGTTAAAGTATGGAGTCACTCCAGTTGGTTGCTCAAGAGTTTGGGCTTTATCTGAACCATTAAATACTATGAAAACACACACACTTATTCACTTGTTCTGATCACCTTCTGTGCATTTTTTTTAATGAGAGAGAAAAATAATCAATTTCATTTGTTCTAACTTAAAATATAACCAAGAGCTCTTGTAAAAAAAAAGAAAAACAATATTTTGAGTTACTGAAAACCAACTCCTAAAATTGGCAAAATGATTGCATCCCAGCCTCATTATCTCTTCACACCCCCGTAAAAAGACAAGATGCCAATACATATTAAGCACATATTTTGGCTAAGCCCAGGATCTCAGATAATCCTAAACCTGCCCCTGGTAACATCTCTCCTCTGATTAATTGAGTTTTCATTTTGCATGTTTGCATTACAGGCCAGACAGCTTTTGACCTTGCCAATGATGCTGTGATGAAGCAAATTCTTCAAAGCGGCTCAAATCGAGTGAGTCAGCTAAGTGTTTGAACTTTCTTTACATCTGACCTTTATCTATTTGTTTAAAACTTAGCTTTTCATTGTATTTAGAGAATGTATTGCATTTATTTTTCAGTTCTATAAGCCCTTGCTACTTCACAGAATGTCCCCCTGCTGCGTAATTTACCAAAACAAATCAACCGTCAAACCTTGAGAGTGTTTCTGTGATGTTTCTGTGATGATTCTGCTATGCGTCAGACACTCCTATGATAAATACCGTCAGAATTAAAGAGGGAAATACAGGAGTGGTGCTTTTTTTTTTATGTTTTCTGATACAGAACAGTTCTTAAGGCATCCAGATAAACTACATGGGCGAACAATTAAAAGGCTATGTCAGTAACTAACTAGTAAGGTATATTAAGTATTAGGAAGTATATTCTATGAAACAGAAATGTGGAGTTATAATGTAATTGTGCATTGTGAAAGCTATATGAATTACCAATTAAAATCTTGATTATCATAAATGTTTAATATTCCAGGTACATTATTATATTATGATTAATAATCCATGTAAACATTTCCTAAAAAAACTCATTTGAAACTAGGGAAATGTTCGCCATGTGAAGAAATTTGAGGGAGCTCTGTGGAAGGTAACAAGTCATAATGAGTAATTTTCTTGATTATAATGATTTTTGAGAGAATAACAAAATCTTTTCACAGAGCTCGAGATTCTTCGGCTGGCGTTCGTACTGGGTTGTTCTGCAGGATGGGGTCTTGTCTTGGTATTCCAAAGAGTACGTGGCTCCTGTCACATTGTCTTTGATAGCTGACATATGAAAAGGTCTTACTACCTGCATTTCATTAGATAGGAAGCTCCTGGTGTAAAAATAGAATGCTATTCTATCTGTAATTGTATCTTCTTCTGGGACAAACTATTCAAGAGCCTTTAAACAGTAATTAGCATTCATCTTTCTTTCTCTCCAAAACCAGGTCAGATGCAGAAGCCAATGTCAAAAGGCAAGGCTGCAAGCCGCTCACAAACTCCACCTGCTTGGTAAGTTTGCCTTTATTTATATGGGAAACATGCAATATATTAACACGTGTTCTGTAGTAATTGAAATATAGGCCATTATGTAATATATGTGGTTTGTGGGTGGTTGGATTAATGGGTCAATTGGCATGTGGGATTGTGGGATATTTTTTAAGAAAACTGCAGAGCACTATGTGATGCATTTTTTATAAAACATGCTTTATAAATAACATTTGATTGATTGCTCAATTGATTATTTTTATTTTTCAAAAATACACATTTCATTTATTGTAGTGTGTGCATGTGTGTATCTTGTATGTTTCATTGGGTTTCTTTTGCAGATTCGAGCCAAAGACAACTGTTTCTTCACTATCAAGTGCTTTGATGATAGTGTGCATCACTTCAAAGTGTCAGCGCAAAATGATCCAGAGGCAACAAGAAAAGTGAGTGCCAGTTTTCTTCTAAAGCACAAACCCACTCTGTATCTTTTGGAACGGTTAGAAGAAGAAATGGCCGTGAAATAAAACATGCGTTTATCTTATTTTGTGCTCCTGTCAGGCATGGCTGGACGCTTTGGAGGAACATTCGGCCTATAGCACCCACTACTGCTCTCAGGAACAGGGCAGCGAGACAGAAGACGAGGATGAAGTGATGTCACTCGGGGAGCTGTCAGAGTCACTACTGGTGGGGAGAAAATTATATTTTGCATTAGTGTTCTGTTGAGTTGTCATTCTTAGTCTACAATTTCTGATACATGTTCGTAATTCTAACCGTTTTCCGGTCAGAGCATATGTACAAATGCTACAACAATTCAGAGGGGTTGCTTAAGTACTGGTTTGCCTCCGGCAATAGCTCTGGATATCTTGAATCTAAACCGCCTCCAAAAGCGGTGTTTATTTTGCTTCATGCAATGATATAGCTTGGGCTAATGAAAGTAATTGGTCCTAACATCCAATTCATTTCCATTCACCATGCATTAGTTTGCAATGTGGCGTCATATTCTGTTCGTAGTCGTCTGTGTTTTTCTGGTATTCTAAAAATGTGATAATTTGTACAAAAAGTTCAGGAAGATGACACTTTTTTAACAATGCTCTTTTTATTACAGGCAGCCGAAAACAGTCATAAAAAATTGGAGAGGGAAATGAAATCCTTCATGTCTATGCTGAAAAATGACGAGCTGTTTGAAAGTAAATCTTTTTAATAGTTATTTGTTTTGTTTAAATATTGCACACCCCAGATGCAGATCCAGAAATCTCGAGAAACATACGGCCAATGATTAATGAGCCATATGCATCATGAAGTCAATGTAAATGAACAAAAGTGATATCAAAAGCTTTTTCTAACTCTCCATCTGTTTCTCACCTCAATTTAACTTTTATTTATTGTTTGCAATTTCTGTCAGTTTGAGCTCTGTGTTTACTTGTATTATTGTTTAGTTCTTCTGCATCATTACAGTGCATTGTCCTTGTTTTGCAGATTTTCCATCTACTTTTCTTCAGAAAATGCAAGAAATATGCGACTTGTCCGGCGAAACAAGCTCCAACCTCAGTGTGTGTCTTAGCCTCTTCTCGCGGCAGGAGGGGGTGAGTGTCTCAAGGACCAATCAAATCTTTTAGTCCTTTAACACCACCACATACAAAGCAATACAGAGAAGTATTGATATACTTGCTGGAGTTGTGCAGTCTCTTTGATTCAATAACTTATAAATCTTATTGGAGATATTTTATCTTTTGCTAAATCAATAAAAATAGTGTAAAAACATGTGGTATTACTGTAATCAGTCTGTTTTTGACCACATGAAACAGTATAAACAAAACATCTTTCATAAGGTCATTATTTTTGTCTGAATGCAGCCCAGTGCGGTGCAGTGATTAAAGGCTGTCGGATGAGCTTTCTTTGTGCGACTTTCAATGGCTTTGATTGCAATAGGACTAAATCATTTCAGAGAAAAACTAGATGGTTTTGTTTTCAGTTTTCACAACAGGTGCAATGATACCATTATTATTATACAAGTGTATTTACATGGCTCCAAACTATAATCTATTTCATCTCCATTATTATTATTATAGACTTGGGTTTTGTAGGTTTGTTTTCCTGTATTTGTTGCAGCAGTTTAGGTTGACCCCGGGTTCAGTTAAGCGTCTGTGGAAACTTGTAAATTGATTTTCGACCTTAAACCCAAATTCAACAAATAAATCTGTTACGCTGCCAGCTTTAAGGCAAAGAGGATCAGCAAAATTGGATTTCCTAACAGTGCATGGCAAATTCATTTTAATACATAAATCTTCATGCCACAACAGATCTGTACAAAGCATTGTATACTGTAAGGCTTAAAAAGGGATTTTTTTATGATAAGGGTTTTTTGTGTGGATGCAAGTTAAGTAGTCCATAAACAAAAGTAGTTATTACAGTTAATTAATTTATTTCTTCACCTGGGAATTCATCAAACTAATACAACTGAAATTTAAAATGTTTTTTTCTCATTTCTCCCTCTGATATCTGCTGTTATTGTGTCCTTGGGCAAGACACTTAACCCCACTTTGCCCGACGCCCCCGCTGACAGATCAAGGCTGTGTTGTCACTGACAAAGCATCCATCCTCCAGTGGACTCACCACCTGCAGGAGGATCAGTGAGGGGCTGGTGCCATGTGTACTGGGTGCAGTTCTAACTGCCACCCCCCAAAACCATAAATGGATTAAGGGGAAGAAAATGGATGGATGGATCTTTCTCAATTCAACAATAAGAAAAGGCTTTAGAAATTAAACATTATAGCAATTGTTTTAACAGTCAACAATAAGAGCTACTGTCATATTCCACTCATACAAATGGTATATGTAGAAAAAGCTCCAGCGCTAGCAAAGGTTACTCTGCGTGGTGGTGAGTTTGATCAAGTTGCTGGTGTTATACGTGTTTGTTTTGGACCCACCTCGGGACAGTTTTGCCTTACACAATGTACAGTCCGCAATTCTCTTGTCACTCTCGTTTACTTAAAATAAAAACTGCCATACATCTTATCTGCTTGCCGGTAGCCTGCTTGTCGGTAGCTTGACTTTGGGAGATCACCATGGCAACACGCTGTCTGCTGTCGTGATGCTAATGTGAATTCAAGATTCAAAGGTGTATTGATTCCCCGGAATCTGGTTCTATGGTATGAGTACGAGTAAGAGTTCAAGCCTATGGTATCAACCCTATCGGTATCGGTGCACCACGGATACGACAAAACATATACAAAACAATGTTGTTTAACATGACCTGTTGCTTTTAGTCAGAGGAATCCTGTATGTTCTCCTCAGACTAGATGGAGTCGAGAGAAGGAGGGCATGAGCTGGGTCTCTTACGATGTTCCGCTTTTTTTTTTTTTTGAGAGAATCACAAATGTATGAAAAATCCATTAAATGTTTTTTGAGCTTATAATATAACAAAGAGATCTTGTAAAAAAAACAAAAAAACAAACAAAGAAAGACAAAACATATTTTTGAGTTACCTGAAACTAACTGCTTTTCCCACCCCATATAAAAAGACAAGATGCCAATTCATATTGAGCACATATTTTGGCTAGGCCCAGGATCCAAGTTTTAATTTTGTTTCATTTTACATTACAGGCCAGACAGCCTGTTTTATAGCAGATTTATACTTTGCAGTCAGATTAGCAAACCAGCTCAATATTCCATTCCCCAGCATCGACTTGCCCTATAAAAAGTCAACATCACATTTTGGCTCTGAACACTCGAGGAAAGTAAAAGGGCTGCTGTATTTTTGCACAGATACTCATCACATGGTTGTGCCATCACAGTCCATCCTCCATTTCCACCCGAGGCGCTTGCATGATGAAGTCCTGTCTATTAATGGATACCTGACGATGGTCCCCTATTGACTGAGGATCCACAACCATTAGTCTGGCCTTTGCTTTCTTTACATTTACTCATTTACTATCATCGCACCATCTTAACATTAAGCAACTTACTCCAGATGTGTGGTCGCTGATGTCAGAGCAGCTTGAGCAGCTTAAGACGATCAGAGAACTTGATAATGTGCTGGTCATGCTGTGAGCTAACACAGTAACAGAAGAGAAGAGCTGGCTGTTCCCGGGTGTATTCCTATGCAACCGACTGTTTCCTTAGAGAATGTTCACTCTCACCTTTTGAGAGCGTTCGGTCAAGGAGTGATACTACTTGATCAGCCACTTGTTTATATTTAACTGGGTTAGCTGGACAAGAATATCAACTTGTAATGAATAAAACACTGAGCTAAAATAGAAAAGAAAACACTTTGTTTCAATACCACAAGTAATGCTGATGCGATGGAGTCAGAGGTGCTCCTGTTTTTGGAATATGCAAATTGGAAAGGAACTAATTGGTGCTCTGCTTGTTCTCGGAGCACAGCTGTTGTGATCCTCTCCATTTTTTTCACTACATTCAAAGTTAAGGTGACTGGTCTGTAGTTATTACTCTCTAAATTATTTGTCTTTGTATGCACTGGAACTGTGATACATTTTTCCATATTTCTGGCACCTGTTGTTTATCCAGGGACAGATGGAAGAGCAGTTGTCACACAGGACTCGGCACATGTTCAATAATCTGGTAGACATCCCATCAGGGCCTGTAGTCTTTCTCACTGGAATTTTCTTAAGCACTTTTACAACAGTCTAAATCAATCACAATTCTATCAGAAGGTTCATTAACATCATGATCAACACCAGTCTCATTGCCACTAGGCAAGGCAAGGCAAGGCAAGTTTATTTGTATAGCACAATTCATACACAAGGCAATTCAAAGTGCTGAACAAAACAAGAAAGCATTAAAATAAAATAAAATAATCACAGAACATTAAAAAAAAGATAAAAATATAAAATCCCTCAGTTGTATGCACAGCTAAACAGAACCGTCTTTAACCTGGTTTTAAACATTGTCAGAGAGGAGGCCTGTCTCACATCTTCAGGAAGACTGTTCCAGATTTTAGCAGCATGAATCTGAAAAGCAGCCTCCCCATGTTTAGTTCTGACTCTGGGCACTAACAGGAGTCCAGTCCCTGTGCTCCTCAGAGTCCGGGCTGGTTCATATGGGACTAACATGTCACTAATATATTTTGGTGCGAGGCCATGGAGAGATTTGTACACAAGCAGAGCTGTTTTAAAGTCTATTCTCTGAGCCACAGGAAGCCAGTGCAGAGACCTGAGGACTGGACTAATGTGGTCGTACTTCCTGGTTCTAGTCAGGACTCGAGCTGCTGCATTTTGAATGTACTGCAGCTGTTTTACAGCCTGTTTGGACAGACCTGTGAGCAGGCCATTGCAGTAGTCTAACCTACTGGAGACAAATGCATGGATAAGAATCTCCAGGTCTGCTTTAGACACTATGTTTTTGATCCTGGCAATGTTTTTTAGATGGTAAAAAGCTGCTGATGTTACTGATTTGATGTGGCTATTAAAATTTAAGTCTGAGTCCAGTATTACCCCTAGATTTCTGACCTTGTTTGAAGGTTTTAGGGAGAGAGACTGTAGGTGACAGATGACGCTCTCTCTTTGTTTCTGGGGACCAAAGACAATCATTTCAGTTTTGTCTGCGTTTAGCTGAAGGAAGTTGTTTTGCATCCACTCACTGATCTGTTGGATACAGTGAAGGAGTAAGTCCACTGGTCCATGTTCTCCTGCAGTCAGTGAGACATAGATCTGAGTGTCGTCTGCATAGTTATGATAGGACACTTCGTTTCTGCGTATTAACTGACCTAGCGGCAGCATGTAGAGATTGAACAGAAGAGGTCCCAGGATCGACCCCTGTGGTACTCCACAGGTCAGGGCCATATGATCTGAGACACAGTTTCCAATCTCCACAAAGTACTTCCTGTCTTCAAGGTAAGACCTAAACCAACTTAGGGCGGTGCCAGCAACGCCAACCCAGTCCTCTAGTCTCTGTAAGAGGATCTCATGATCGACGGTGTCAAAGGCAGCACTCAGATCTAACAAGATTAAGATTGAGACTTTGCCTGCGTCAGTGTTCAGCCGGATATCGTTTGTAACCTTGACAAGAGCAGTCTCAGTGCTGTGGTGGGGTCTAAAGCCGGACTGAAACATATCAAATGAGTTGTTGATTATAAGAAATCTAGTAAGCTGTAGGTAGACAACTTTTTCAAGGACTTTCCCCATAAATGGCAGATTTGAGATGGGACGATAGTTGTTAAGTACCATAGCATCCAGGCTGCTCTTTTTTAGCAGGGGCCTGATGACTGCCGTTTTTAGGGCCTTTGGGAATATTCCAGAATCAAGGGACATGTTTACTATCTGTGTGAGTGAAGGTAACAGACTGCTCAGAACAGACTTCAGAAATCTAGTGGGTAGTACATCCAGGCTGCATGTGGAGGAGCTCAAACTGTAGATTATTTCTTGGACATTTTTATCATCTACAGGTGCAAAGTAAGTTAGCTCAGAGAGCCTTTCTGGCTGTTGGATGGTTATCTGTGGATTGGAGACAATGGCGTTTTTGACAATGGCGTTTTTGATGCCTTGAACCTTGTCATTGAAAAAGTGTGCAAACTCATTGCATTTACGTTTGGAAGTTAGCTCTAATGGCATCTGAACAGGGGGGTTTGTTAATCTATTAACTGTTGAAAACAGAACACGCAGATTGTTACTGCAGCCTTCAATCATTTCAGAAAAATACCTTTCTCTCGTACTACGTAGCACCCGGTTAAACTCGCACAACTTATCCTTGAATATCTCGTAATCTACCTGGAGGTTGGACTTCCACTTCCGCTCGGCCCTCCGGCACTTTCTCTTCAGTGCTCTGACCGAGTCTGCTTTAGCCCACGGCGCCTTCTGCTTATTTTTCACTATTTTAACCTTCACAGGGGCAACGGTATCCAGAACATTCAAAACACTAGAGGTGACAGAGTTAAACAGTTCATCTACAGTAGAATACGATGCATTTTCACTAGTGGTTAAAGCTGCACTAACTGACTTTATTTTTGTATTCATTACGAAAGTGCTATCCATGTCCATGTAGTGCATTGGGATACACGTCCTTTTGAAGAAAAAGTAGCGCTGATTTGTTGCTATCGTGACATTATATTTTAGATCGAGTTTTGATGAAACAAGGAAGAGATGTGTTTCGGGTCACAGATTGTGACCAATCACAGCGGACCACTGGCCCCCACTTTTGTGAGAAATCTACAGGTCCGTTAGCATAGACGGCTGAGTTAGCACAACAAGCGGCGGAGCTAACCTGAAGCTTCGTGTGTCTTCGTCACCGGTTACTGCTTACACAGCGAAACAGCCATCCAAAAGAAAGTCCCGTTCCTCCGCGCTTCCCGGTTCTATCGTTCTATGGTCACGCCATCCACGTGCAAATCCATATGCATGTATTATCCATATTGGGAGACGCAAGCTCCGTCCCAACAGTGGGTGTGTGTGGGGGGCGATAGCTTTGTGGGTGCGGGGAGGGGAGCAGAAAGAGAGAGGCCAGCGAGTCCGCGGCTTCAAAATCCCAAAGTCAGTTAGTGCAGCTTTAAATAAGTAATTTCTCTGATGGAGTCCCACAGTTTCTTTGTGTTTGAACGTTGTAGGTTTTGCTCAGCACTCTTTGTGTAGTGTTCTCTGGCCTTCTTCAATTGTCTATTTAGTTCTTTGTAGCTCCCATGTCTTTCACATTTTCATTCTTCTTTCTTATTATGGAGGCATTTACAGTATTTTGTTGTTTAGAATAGATACTGCTTTATCGTTGGAATATTTAGTAATAGACTTCTTGACCAAAAAGTCAATTAGGCATATTACTTCATTTTAAACATGTTGCCATGCCGATGAAACACAACAAACACTCCCCATTCTGTGTCAATGGGAAATCATAAAACATCTCAAATTTTCACCACGCACTAATAACAAAACAGACTCGTCGTTTTACCAATTTGTCTCAAAATTGCTCCACGTCTTTTCAACACATGTAGCTTCAAAAGTTAGCTGCAGAATTTTGATCAGTTAAACGGTGTGCAAGCTGCGGAGAAGCAAATTGTTTCCTCAAATTCGAGAATTACAAATTTACTCCATATTACTCATTCAAAGTTTCGTGGATAGCTAAACATCATACTATGTAGCATTCTCTAATATCAAATCCTTATCCCACTTCCTAGGTTTCCTGAGAATGATGTCGATGTCAGCCTTTAAATTGTTGTATTATGTGATGTTGTAATAGACAGACTGGCAAACAAACAATGGTGAATTTCTAAATATTGAAATGATAATAATGTAATTTAATAATGTATTATACTGCATAATACTTTTTCATTCAACTGTAAGTAGACAAGCTTGTACACTAAACTCGTTGCACTCTTGTAATAATTTAGACAAGCAGGTTATTATGACTGCAGGCATGTGATTCACTGCCGAAAGCTAAATGTATGATTGGGTAATTGCTACAGCTGGTCTAACTGTACAAAATTTTTGATCAAAGTGAATGCATCTCATTTCAGCCCTGATTGTAATATATTCTCCCATTTTGCAGATGCCGAAAAATGTAGTTTCTCACAATCAAAGTCCGTTTTTAAGCAACATATTCAGCTAAGAATTCCATTTGAGCAGCAGATCTGAGGGAGAATTATTCAGCACCATCTCCCCACTGATTGTTTAAACTGATATGTGGCGGGAAGCTGTTTTGATGCGCAGAAATGCTACCACAAATCAAACGGAGATGAATCCTCACTAAAGTTCTTCAATATGTCAGTCAGGAGGGCTTTACCTCTGTGTAACAACAAAGGTGTGAACTATTTTTGTTCAGAATCCTTCGTGTCTCGGCTTTTGCAACAAGCAAGAGGTTCATGTCAATCAGAGAAAAAAAAAGCACAAAGAATAATACGTATTTTTGTTTTTTGATGAAAATATTAACTCTGTATCCAACCATTCATTAGCAACCATATTCTCCTCTTTGTGTTTTTTGATTCTTCTTGTTTCATATGTGTTGTATATATTCCTTTTAAATGTGTCCTATTCATGTTGACAGACTATTCCTGATTATTTATGATCACAACACATTGGTTTTCTTTCCCTGGTGAGGAGAGACGAGGCAGAGAGGTGTGCAGTGTAATGACAGCCACATGCAACACATTGAACTTTAAAGAGGAACTTCCTGCTGCGTGACCCTCGGTAAACACTGAGAGCTGTACCATTATCAAACTGTCATATGAAGCTGTTTCAACAATGTGGACTGGAGTACAATTCAAAATGTTGAGAAGTGTATTTATTTTCTACAAATATTCAAAAGTAATACTAGATAGTAACAATAGCATATGCATTTGAGAAGGGTAATTAAATACTATAAAGAGAAACCACAATAACTTACTTGAAACTAAAAATGATTTCACTCACCATGAGTTATTGCTGTTGGTTTCATAATTTTGCACTGGACACATTTTAGACGCCTCGCTATATCAGCAGTGCCATCTCATTTAAAGAGCAGTGAGGAATGGTCTGGTTGTTTGAAAGATAAAATTAATAGAGTGTGCGTGGGAGTAAAAGCCAGGCGAGAAATGGGGAACAATAATCTTGTATAAATAGCCACTGTCTTCAAAATAAAGTTGTGGCCCAGACTGTTAATGATGGTAGATGTGTTAATACAAGCCAGATGAGAGAATACAGCTGATAATCATTACAGTAGGGTGCTCTACACTGTATAGTGCTCTGAAATGCGGTTCTGAATGTTATTTCTCCTGTATCTTAAAATATGAGATAGAATTCCAAAGGAAAACATGATCTCCATTGGCCATTACAGTATAACTGCATCTGTTATGCTTGTAAGTAGTGGTGCACAATTAATTGCAGTTGAAATAAATTAGCAATTTTAGTTGTAGCAAATTGCTAAATTTGCAAGTTTTTTGCAAACAAAAAATTGACTTAAGATTTACAAAAAATATTAATTGATTTGAGTATATTTGGGCGGTACGGAGCGGTTGGCACTCTTGCGTCTCAGCAAGTTCTGGGTTCAATTCCACCTGAATGTTTTATTCATGCTTGAACTGTGGGTTAGAACTAAAAATGTCTGGAAGTGCGTGGAAATTACATTTGTGGTAAACTCTTCATTTGTAAGCTGTAACTCTCACTCTTTATTTTTACTTTGCACAAAATGATCCACAATTGAAAACTGCATCGTAATTGCAAATTTGGTCAAAAGGATTTAATTTAGATATTTTGCCAAAATTGTGCAACCGTAATAGTCAGCGTTTCCAAAATTCAGATGTTGTTCAAATATATGTGACATTTGCAACGTGCATGTGTAAAAAGCATCATATTGGCACTAATGAGTTGCCTAAAAGGACAGTTTTTTTCGAATGGTTTATATCTGAGTCCATTTTGTTATTTGATCTCCACCTGCGTGTGAATCATGTTGCTGCTCGGCCATTTGAGAAGGCAACATCAAGGCACCTGTCCTCCATTACACAAAATGCTGCCATCTCCCTCCTTTCTCCCATCCTCAGCCCTGCCTCTGACACACCTGCCTTTTCCCTTAAAACTATTATTTACTGTCCATGCTCAAAAATAGCATTTGTCAGACATATTGCTTGAACCATAATTTGTGAAATATCTAAAGGTAAGGGACACTCCGGAACGTTTATCCATTTGTTTATTTCCGGTCAACATTTGTTCATATATTTTACCATTTTTACCAAAGTAATACATTTAATGATGAAAAGCTGTTAACTAATTGCGACATTGAGTTCATAATCCATCCTAATAAATGTGCTGCATGACAATTATTGCTTTTAAAATCTGTCGAATTTTCTTTTTCCCCTCGTAAAGATATTTAGTTGAGACTGCATGTACAACCAGGACTTTTCTTTATCAGATTAGTTTGTGTAAGCTCTCAGTCGTACAGGGATTAGTCAAAGCAAAGGAAGGTTTCTCACCCATCATCTGTACTTCTTAGCAAGTTTTCCCGACGTTTCGTCCTCAACCTCATTCCCTGAAGAAGTCCGCTAGGTTGAGGACGAAACGTCGGGAAAACTTGCTAAGAAGTACAGATGATGGGTGAGAAACCTTCCTTTGCTTTATCAGATTATTTGTTTTAGTGAAATTTTACACACAAATGTACATTTATTTATTTTTACTAGCTTAAGTAGCCTATTCTGTCATATAGGTTTAACATGCATGAGTTATAAAAATCGTTTGTTATATATCATAATAATAATGGCAACCGTAAGTAACAAATCTGAGAATTATTTATTGGATCATTTGAGCCGGCGTAGTATTTGTGTCCTTCTACCTGTGGATAATTGAACAGGATTAGAGTTATGCATGTTTTATACTGTCATGTAATACAATACACTGGAAACTAGCCTTTTTTCTTCTGAGACTCTGGGATGAAAAATTCCTCTACACAGTTTAGCATGTATGCACTTTGAAATGAAACCAAAAGCTATTTCCATGTATCTCCATGAAATGTTTTTCTAATGCTGGTTTGTGTCTCTTGTCCTTGTGTTGTCGTGGGCTCAGGTGCGCAGTGTGAAATTGGAGCAGGAGCTGGAGAAGAATAAGATCCTGTCCGAGGCTCTGCAGACACTGGCCACGGAGCACCACGAACTTGAGCAGTCGGTGGTCAAAGGATCATCGCCGCGCAGTCCTTTGAGTGAGGATGAGTTTCACGACGCTGTGTCAGGTGAGTGAACTAAATGTGGGGAAAATTTGGGATGAAATAAAAGATATTTTGGTCACATAATTTTGGTCAATCATCCATAGAATCCTGGGAGTCCTGTTAGGGGGTAAATGTATCTGGTATGTTGGCCCCTGTTGCATGGGACACCTGAGATGACATTTGGACATGAATGACTAAAGTGCATGTTGTGTAGACTGATGATGGTTGAGTGGGCTTCATTTGAACTGTAGTAGCATATCAAATGTTTACACTGTACAGCTAATATTCGATTCCTAATTAGTTACTTGTTACATTGATCTTTTTAAATCTCTTGTCTATTATACTAACCACTTAAATTGTGAGAAATTCTACAAACGTATGTGACTTAAGTTTCTTTTTAAATATTGTGGGTGCACGCAAAACACTTTAGTTCATGCCATGCTAACACTTTTGAAAAATAAAACTTTCAGTTGTTTCATTGTAATCCAATACAACATTAGCACGTGTTTTGTTCAACTGCATCATCATTGTAGAGAAGTGTGTTCTGTATTTGACCCTACCCTTCTGATCTTGATCCTGGGATTTGGGCCTACTGGGCATGATTTTGGTTGTTGTACAAGTAACACGCTTTTTTAAAAAAAAAATGTAATGGCAAAGTATGCTGATTTGATCGTGTCTGATAGGGCATGCTTTTACCAGTTTTTCCTATTACCTGAAAGTACCAGGAGATTTTGGTGTTAGCTTTCACCAAACTACTTTTTCCCATTTTTGTCACTTGGGATACATTCTAAAAAATACTGTTATCTTTTCACAATCTTTCACCCTTGTGTATTTTGTGTTAGATTCAGAGTCCGAGCCTTCGCTGAGTGGATTTGAGACTGTAGCGAGTCATTCGTCTGAGGAAGACGACGACGAAGACTCTGTGATGTTCCAAAGCAACAGTCCGTCCACCATGTTGGATCAGCATGTGGACGAGGACCAAAATCAGCCCAATGGATTCTCAAACCACAGGTAAGCCTCATCTCTGGGGTTTTTATGTCTTTCATTAACACACAAAAAGATCACTGGATGAGCTGGTATTTTGTACCAAAGTGGCTTGTTTTGCCTGGTTAATTTTTTCGAAATCATATTGTGAATAATTTAGTGTGACCTGCTTGGTAAAGGAAAGAAAAAGTATTGTATGAAAGGACCGAGCTCTGTGTGGGTGCTTTTAAATATTGATAAGCTTGCAGTGTAATGCAATAATCGCTTGCCACTGCAGAATGATCTAGGGTCAGATAAATGCTGGCAGCAGTTTTATACAGCAGATCATAAAGTTACTTTAAAATACTCCAAACAGCCATGAAATTACAATCTGCAATTATTGTAGACTACATAAGTAGGCTCTTGTTGCTGTTTATCTGACATCTTTTGCAAACAACTGCAATTACTAATTTAGCTATTAAACATCATTATAGTTGTGTATGGCAATTTTCTCAATGTGTATATAGTGTCTTGCAAAAGTATTGTTTAGCTTGAAGTTGTGTATACCAGTATCTGCACATGTTACATCACCAAACATAAATATTTTATGTTAATATTTTACTGAAAGACCATAACGCTGACAACTGTGTAGTGAAAGAAAGAAAAAAAATTGAAAGTGGGGTAAGCATTAAGAAGGAGCTTAAGACTATGTGGATTTTGGACCTGGGGGGCTCCTGTGGCCAGTGTTCCACAATCATGTCTTCTGGGCGTTCAGCTCTAGGTTGTTACCACTGCGCCAGGACAGTGGTAACAACCTAGAAACATTATCAGTTTCACAGAGTTGTGGCTGGAGGTGTAGTGGTTAGTGTAGAGGGAGAAGAATATGGGAGAAAGAACACAGCCCTGCGGAGGAGGAAAGTGCTGCTTCTTGTTCGTCAGGGAGTCAGTGATCCTCCTCCAGGTGGAGTCTGGCACGTTGAGCTGGGAGAGCTTGTCCTAGAGCAGGGATTGCAGAATGGTGTTGAAGGCCTGCTTCACAGGTATTTTGTCAATAGGTCTAGTGACTTCTTGGGGACAGGAACAATGTTGGACTAAAAGCAGGCAGTGGTTAGTACAACTACTCGAAGGTGTTAAAAAGGTCTGTGGAGACGGGAGTCAGCTCACTAACGCAGTGTCTCAGAGAGGCAGGAGAGGGCCTGATGCTTTGCAAAGTTGAAGCCTCTTGAAGATTTGCGTGACATCCTCCTGTATCGCCAAGCGGGGGTGGGGAGTCTGAGGAGGTAGTGGATGAATAGTCGTTTGAGCAGTGAGGGGTGTTGGGAGTGTTAATGTCTGCAGCTCCTTCAGAGTTACCATTAGCCTTGTGACTGCATCTGTGATCAGTGCTGTCCTTGTTAGAGCTGTGAGTTTGGGCAGACATCCTAGTTTTGGTAGATTTGCAGTTTTCATTACTGAATAATTGATTAAACAGTGCTCTGTGAAATGTTCAGCTTTGGAAATATTTGTATGACCTGACCATGCTTCAAACATTTCCACAACTTGACTTGGAAAAGTGACCAATACTCTAGATTGCTTGCATGTGGGCTCTTTATAATTGTTAGGGCATGGTGTGAACATTGTACAAGAATTTGGAATATTTTAAAGACTCTTTAATGTTCTCAGAAAAAAATGCTGTATGAACATTTGGTATTATCCTCCAGCTCTGGTTGTCCTGACCAAGCTGAGCATCAACATCTGGAGATGGGTTCCCGGGCGCTGTACTACAGCGACCACAAAGTTCAAGTGTATTAATACTTTCAAAAGGCACCTTTATAATATGCAAATTATGAACGTTAATATTTTTATTTGTGCTTGATACCATTTTCACTTTTAGATTTGTTTTATATCAATTACTTATTTGTATTAGAGTATTGTGTATTCATTATTCTGTTGGAATGTATACATATATTTTTGACTCGATTGTGCATCTACGGCTCGGCCCGGTTGAACAAAAAATCTGCAACAGCCTTCCATGAGATAAGCCTGTATTCTATTGGCATTCAATCCTAATATGGCCGAGCGGATTGTATTAGTCTTGTCTGTTGAACATTTTATTTGTTTTGTATTATTTTATTTTTTGCTTTTTGTGTTAATCACTTCAAATTACTGTGTGTACAAATTGTCCTCTTAAAACTTTCCTTTTCCATTTAATATCTTGCATTGCATTCTTCATCCTTTCAAACTTTAAATTGGCGATGCATTACCTCTTAGCGCTCCTCTTTTCCAATTGAATCTTCTATATCCCAGACATTTTACAACTGATCTTTGACCCGTCTGTCTGGGAAACTTTGACGCATCTGGAGATGGGATTTTGCGAGGACATCTACCACCTCTGATACTGATGCTGATGATTTCCGAGGCTTTTGTTGAGCCACCACACAATGCATTTTGCTCTTTAGTTGACAATTTAGCCTGGGAAAAATGTTAGTGTCAAGGCCAGTCCAGAGCTTTTATATAAATGGGTATGTTGCTTAGTAGCAGAACAATGCCATTTCTGTTACACCAAAATGTAACCACTGACAAACAACAATTTGATTATGCAGAACCAATTATCAAAAACACATTTAAATAATTTTGCTTTTGTGGTCATTTTCTTTGGTTGTCATGTCCAATAGTGGTATTGGCAAGGTCTTACTAGTTAACAAGGTGGACAAGGTCACGTAGGTTTTCACAAACGAACTAGGCCAAGTGGCCACAGGGGTAAATATTGGTAAATATTAACAAACTCCTTGGTAAAAGTAAGCACGATGCTGATAAAGACCTTGAACTCAAATTTGGCAATGAATTGGTATCAGAGCCTCTCAGTCTAGCAACTAAATTAAATGATTTTTTCCAAAGTACCATTAATGATATTGCGCAACTGTTTTCTAATTCTTGTGACTCTCAACAAAATATTGGCAACACCAACTCCCATATGGATGCCTCAACTCAAAATTCAAAGTTTAATATCCAAAAAATTACAGAATATGAAGTAGAAAACATAATCTCTAAATTGAAAAGTTCTAAAGCAAGGGATGAGTTTGGATTTGATACAAATCTTCTGAAAAATTATAAACCTTGTATCTTGGTGCCTGTGACCCATCTTATTAATTTATCAATCTCGCAGGCAGTCGTTCCTCTGAGTTGGAAAGTGGCAAAAGTGATACCAATCTATAAATCAGGTGATAAATCAGACCCTGCTAATTATCGACCTATTAGCATACTCCCTATCTTCTCAAAAATAGCAGAAAAGTGGGTTGCTAACTCTATTATCGAACACCTTAATGATTCCAATCCAGGTCTGCATCCTATGCAATTTGGATTTCGATCTCTTCACTCAACTGAAACAGCTGTCTGTGTTTTTGTTGAAAAGGTGAAGTCTTATCTAGACAAAAACAGTTATGTTGCGGCTGTTTTTATTGACTTTAAGCGTGCGTTTGATACTGTGAATCACCTTAAGCTCTTGTCTAGACTGTCAACATTTAACCTTAGTAATCAAACCGTTGAATGGATACAGTCTTACCTATCAGATAGAAAACAATGTGTGCAAATAAAGAATAGTAAGTCACCCTATCTTTACTATACACAGGGTGTCCCTCAGGGATCAATTTTAGGTCCCCTGCTATTTTCACTTTATGTAAATAACTTGCCTAACGTATGCAAAAATGTGGACACGATTATGTATGCCGACGATACGGTAATTTTTACACAAGCCAAAAGTGCTGATGATGCAGCCCATCAGCTCTCAATAGCCTTAAATGATCTACAAAAATGGCTGAATGATTCATGCCTGTGCCTTAATGTTAAAAAGACTGTATCAATGTTTTTTAGTAAACCTAAAACAACAGTGGCCGCAGTAAAAGTTTGCTTGGGTGGACAAGAATTAACTAATGTTGAGGAATTTAGGTATCTAGGAGTGCTAATAGACTCAAAATTATCCTTCAAAAAACACATTAAAAAAGTAGTGAAAACTGTAAATGTTAATATACGGAACTTCAGACATATTCGAACATCATACATACAGCAGCGATTACATTCCTGCACTCTATGATACTGGCTCATATTGAGTATTGTATCACAAGTTGGTCCTATACGAGTCATGCTGCTATTGGGCCAATCGAAGTATGCTACAAAAGAGCATTGAAAATATTAGACAAGAAACCTTCATCATACCACCATTGTCAAATTTTAGATAAATATAAGTTTTTAACTTTGCTAATTTTAAATTATTTAAATCAGCCTGTCTAATCTACAAGGTCATACATGGTCTGGCGCCTCCACCATTGAGTGATTTTATTAAACAAAAGTCTATCAGTGCCGGGTCTCGAGTGACTCGAGCCACTGTGAGAAGTGATTGTGAATTGCCATTTAGGCGGACCAGCTTTTCACAGAATGTCCTGTCATATCAGGGAGTGAGCTTCTGGAATAGTATTCCACTGTCTGTGAGGGAAAGCACAAGTCTCCCTACCTTTAGGAGTCATTTAAAAGTGTGGCTGAGGGACACACAAACATGTGATCATGTTTAGTTAATGATGATAGTTACAAAAGGGGATGCAATTATCAGTGTCATACGGGCTGTGCAATGGGAGTCTGTTGGGCATGGGTTATACAATGGGGGTTAGTGTAATGCGGGTCAGTGCAATATAGAATGGTGCAATATGGGTCAGTGCAATATTGGGTCTGTCAGGTTATGTGCAATATTGGGGTTTGTGCAATACAGTCGATGCTTTCCCGTTACTGTTTTTCTATATTGTCCTTTGTTGTCCACTCTTTTTATTGTTTGTTCTATCAAGTGATCACTGTACTCGTCCTTGTCTCTCTGTACATAGTCTGTATATAGTGTCTCTGTATGTTTTTACTAACCTATGCTTAACACCAACCTGCCAGGGGGTCTGCAGATGGAAATTAGCCTAAGGCTATAATCTGGCATATTTACATTTGTAAAAATGTTCATTAATATGTATTGTCCCTCCTTTTCAAATAAATAAATAAATAAAAAAAAAAACAAAAAAAAATGCAGTGTATTATAATGCTCGGCCCAGGCAAGATACAAGTGTATTTTGGTGTGTTTTGGCCACAAAATAAAGTGACTCTTCCAATAACACCTAAAATCGTTATTCAATAGCTATAGCACCACACTGTGACAGCGAGGGTCAAAACAAAAGGTAGTTATCTCCTTTAGAAAACGCATCTCTTTTGCCCAGGAGCGATAAATCTCCCCTGTGCCCCTCGACCACGGTCCCGGGGGTTACATGAAAGATGTAATGCAAGCATGGAGAATGCGAAAGAATGTGAAAGTATGCAACTGCAGGGAGAGACGTGTGTGAAAATGCACGTCACATGTCAGTATGATGTGACGCCCAATATCACGTCCCCACCACACCTCATCCCCCACCCCATCGACCCCCCTCATCTGTGCTTTACAACCGTGCTCTGAGAGCAGAGGCTGAGGATGTTGGGGTGGATACTTCCATCTCCCTGGCAGAGGTCACCAAGGTGGTTGGCAACCTCCATGGTGGCAAGGCGCCGGGAGTGGATGAGATCCGTCCTGACTATCTAAAGTCTCTGGATGTTGTGGGACTGTCTTGGCTGACACGTCTCTGCAACATCGCGTGGCGATCGGGGGCGGTGCCAATGGAGTGGCAGACCGGAGAGGTGGTCCCTCTCTACAAGAAGGGGGACCGGAAGGTGTGTTCCAATTATCGTGGGATCACACTCCTCAGCCTCCCTGGTAAGGTTTACTCCAAGGTACTGTAGAGGAGGCTACGGCTGATGGTCGAATCTCGGATTCAGGAGGAGCAGTGTGGTTTTCGTCCCGGTCGCGGAACACTGGACCAGCTCTATACTCTCCATCGGATACTTGAGGGTTCATGGGAGTTTGCCCAACCTGTCCACATGTGCTTTGTGGATTTGGAGAAAGCGTTCGTCCGTGTTCCCCGGGGTGTACTTTGGGGGGTTCTCTGGGAGTACGGGGTCCGGGGTCATCTGCTGAGGGCCGTCCGGTCCCTGTATGACCGGAGTCAGAGCTGTGTTCGCATTGCCGGCAGTAAGTCAGACCTGTTCCCGGTGAATGTTGGCCTCCGACAGGGCTGCCCTTTGTCACCAGTTCTGTTCACTGTGTTTATGGACAGAATTTCTAGGCGCAGCCAGGGGCCGGAGGGGGTCCGGTTCGGGGACCACAGGATTTCATCTCTGCTGTTTGCAGACGATGTTGTCCTGTTGGCTCCAACGAACCAGGACCTGCAGCATGCACTGGAGCGGTTTACAGCCGAGTGTGAAGCGGCTGGGATGAGAATCAGCACCTCAAAATCTCAGGCCATGGTGCTCGACCGGAAAAAGGTGCCTTGCTCTCTTCGGGTGGGTGGAGAGGTCCTTCCTCAAGTGGAGGAGTTCAAGTATCTCGGGGTCTTGTTCACGAGTGAGGGAAGGATGGAGCGTGAGATTGACAGGCAGATCGGTGCAGCGTGCGCAGTGATGCGGTCTCTGTATCGGGCCGTTGTGGTGAAGAGGGAGCTGAGCCGAAAGGCAAAGCTCTCAATTTACCGGTCAATCTTCGTTCCCTCCCTCACCTATGGTCATGAGCTTTGGGTAATGACCGAAAGAACATGATCGCGGATACAAGCGGTCGAAATGAGCTTCCTCCGCAGAGTGGCTGGGCGCTCCCTTAGAGATAGGGTGAGAAGCTCAGTCACACGGGAAGAACTCGGAGTAGAGCCGCTGCTTCTTCACGTTGAGAGGAATCAGTTAAGGTGGCTCGGGCATCTGTTCCGGATGCCTCCTGGACGCCTCCCTGGGGAGGTGTTCCGGGCACGTCCCACCGGGAGGAGGCCCCGGGGAAGACCCAGGACACTCGGCTGGCCTCTCTCGGCTGGCCTGGGAGCGCCTTGGGGTCCCCCCAGACGAGCTGGAGGAAGTGTGTGTGGATAGGGAAGTCTGGGCGTCTCTGCTTAGACTGCTGCCCCCGCGACCCGGCAACGGATGAAGCGGAAGAAGATAGAATGAGACTATTTTTCAAAAAAGTGTATGGGCAGGACTCCATTCCAATTCGAATGGCCAAAGTATAGGTGTGATATTTCTTTTACTATATGGTCTGATAAAAAGTCCTTCTGAAACATCAATATATTTTTTTTACATTGTCTTTGTTGAGCTCATTTATTTATCTTTTAGGACGAGTCTTCCTGCTCCGATGTTTTCCAGAAATGACTTCAGTATTTGGAGTATCCTGAGGAACTGCATTGGAATGGTAAAGGACAATTATTCACTCTTTGACACATTTGGTAGTAGCTTGTAGTTTGTTTTTCTTATCTTATAATGTGAAAAACACAGAGCTCTCACAGTGGCCATGACGGGAAATTAAAAAGTGCATATTTTCTCATCAACAGTAGTGTATAGTTGGGTTTAAAGATGTACAATGTTTTAGGCTGATGATGTAATAGTGATAGTTGCATTGCTTTTCCGTTGCTACAATACTTTTTAAATATTCCATTTCCTTTGGTACACCTATTTTCTTTCTCTGCGTTCACAGGAGCTTTCCAAAATTACAATGCCTGTCATTTTCAACGAACCATTGAGTTTTCTGCAACGACTGACCGAGTACATGGAGCACACCTATCTGCTACAACAGGCCAACGCCACTCAAGACTCCATCGAGAGGATGAAGGTAAGAAAGATGAGCTGTTTCTATAACTGTACTTTAATAAGAAAGGAAGACAAGATGAGATAAAACGTGATTGAAAAATGTACATGTTACATTTGGCACCAATAGGGACGTCCAACCTGACGTCACGCCATTGACGGAATCGAAAATGCAAAACCGCTGGTGATACTACAGGTCGTTTCGAAATTTTCCTTCTAGGGCTTTGACTTTTGCACAAAAATCATATTCGAAGTTTGTTTGTTTATTAATTTAAATATTCAAATATTTAATTATAATTTATTAAACTGCTCCTCAACACCTTTAAATGTAAATCAGAGAATACAGTATACATATACATCCATAACACACATGCATGGAGGTTTTCAGAATTATCTGTTCATGTTTTCATGACAAAAATACAAGTACAACGAGCTTTCAGTGCCTGTCACTACTTGTCTATTCAGAGAAGCTAGCGGAGCTAGCCACTCTCAATAAACAAATACCAATCAATCAACACCATTAAATGTTAATCGGAGAATACAGTATACATATACATCCTTAACACACATGCACGGAGGTTTTCAGAATGATCTGCTCATGTTTTCATGACAAAAATACAAGTACAACAAGCTTTCAGTGCCTGTCACTACTTGTCAGTTCAGAGAAGCTAGCGGAGCTAGCCACTCTCAATAAACAAATACCAATCAATCAATCAACACCATTAAATGTTAATCGGAGAATGAATACCATTAAATGTTAATCGGAGAATGAATAATCGTGTGTATATCTTTTTCTGATGCTAATAAGTGCGATGACATGACGTGAAGTGATGCGTTAGCTGACGACCGCTAAGCTAATTACAGATCCATTGCTGCGAAGTCGGCGGACGGATTCCGTCAAAATGGCTGACACGCGGCTATGGGTCATGTGACTGGGAGATCCCTATATGATCACTGTGTGCAAAAGACAGGAAATGTGCAAACACCAGGTCTGCATTAGCCTGGTCTTACCACACCATCGTACAAATTTCATTTCGTACTAAGGTCTGGATTTTCTCCATTGAGCTCCATTATCTGGTGGGAGGGGTTAACTCCTTTGGCAGATTTAAAGAATTGGATCGAAGTTTACCGTGATGTATGTGATGCGCCCGATTGAGTGTGGCATATAGCATTTAGCCTAGCTTTAGCCATTTCTTTTGCTACTAACAGAGCCAAAACATCTTTGCTAGCAATGAAATCTGCTAAACATTCCTCTTGCTCCGGCTTCAATTTCTTGGTAATTGACCCAGAACGGATAACTTTACAATTGTATTCGCCGTCATTGCCAAACTACAACCAGGAAATTTGGCGCAAACTTTTGACGTCACCGACACCTACCTACAACACCCGCCTCCCCCGCTCGCTGATTGTGTCGGATTGGATACAATCGAGGTAACTGTAGACAATGGGATCAGACGCAGACATACATGCAGAGAAATAATAATTGACCGGAGTTACGGATGGTCAGGACAGGCTAGGTCTAAATTGGGAAATATGTAAAAAAAAATTAAAAGACATAGAGTTAATACAGATAATCAAACCATGACAAGCAGAATCGACATCTAACAACCTAGAAGTAACTGAGATTCGTTACTAGATTTGGTATAAATAAATTGGAATTTCAAATTGAATTTTTCGAGTTATCAAACTAAAGCTAATAGATTCCCTTGGGATTATACTAAAATAACAACAACAACAACAACAACTTATTCTTTTATAGCCCTAAATCACAACAGCAGTCATGTGTTGTACACAGTGCGTGGCTGCCTTTGCTGTCTCTGCGGTGGCCTCTCAGTGGGAGCGGACGGGAAAACCCTTCAACCCTTTGCTGGGAGAAACATATGAGCTGGTCAGGTACGTGGAGATACTGCACTGAACCATATATCGCTCTGTGCATTGGTGATGCTGCAGTGTTGTATTATCCTCAAGAAAGTTCACTGTATTGATCTTGTTTATTTTTCCCAGTGGTGCGACTAAAAAGTGGTGTTGTGACAATAAATGATGAAACTTTAAAGTTGCATGCATACACAAGACCAATCTTCTGTTGTATAAACTGACAAAGCCCTCTAAACTCTCCAGACTTTGCTGCGGGTGCAGTTTTATCTAATGTCACGGTCAAATAAGGATTTCACTGCAGCTTCTTCCTGTGACATTTGACCTAAAAAAAGTATGATGACTTCAAAATTCTTGTAGGACACTTGAATGACCAGATGAGGCAACCCAAATGTTGTCTGTAAGAGCATAATTTTACTTGAAACAAAATGTGGCAAAATGGAGCAGCAGTATACAGTTTATGTTTTTTTTTTTTTAGAAAATGGATGGATGGATGGATGGCTTGTTTACCACTCTTATAATCACTAAAAATACTTTCAAACCATTTAGGAGATTGATATTCAGAAGTCACATTGTATTTGCATGGTTGTCGTGTGTTGAAATCCTGTGTGGAGCCTCTGGGGTTCATCTCAGCACGAGTGTGGCTCTTTGAACAGCTCTGCCACCACCCAAAACACTAGCTCCAATATTTTCCTTTTCGTTCACGGTTTCCTTCATTGTTTGTTTAAGTCTTTACGGTTTGAATTCTTCTGATGGCTGGTGGCTTATGCAGAGGTTTAGCCTATTATCCACCAAATGCTTGAGATAAAAATGGCTGTGCAGAGATAATAATAAGTTGATTTAAAAAACCTCTGCATTTTTGCTTCCTCGTGTGTTTTGCATTTCCATAAACACATTGATGACCACCCCACATACATCAATATTTTGTATTTTATTCTTGCTTCTTAATATAGATTGCTTCCTTATTATGCTAAAGCTATAGATTTTATTTTATGTTATTTTATTTAGTAGAGTTTAGTATAGAGTTGAGTATAGAGCTGTGTTCATTTATCTTATCCTAACGACCCACCCATCAGCCTAGCTCTAATGACCCACCCATCAGCCCTGCCCCCAGCCTGACAATAGCCTCTAAAGACATTAAACAACTCTTCTTGAGGCTGCACCCCCGCAAAGCTCCTGGCCCGGACCACGTGTCTCCGGCCACTCTGAGACACTGCGCCAGTGAGCTTACTCCTGTGTTCACTGACATTTTCAACACCTCTCTGCAGTCCTGCCATGTCCCGGCCTGCTTCAAATCCTCCATCATTGTCCCCGTCCCGAAGAAGCCCAGGATCACAGGACTCAATGACTACAGACCTGTAGCACTTACGTCTGTCGTCATGAAGTCTTTTGAACGCCTGGTCCTCTCCCATCTCAAGTCCCTCACCTCCCCCCTCCTGGACCCCCTGCAGTTCGCCTACAGAGCCAACAGATCTGTAGACGACGCCATTAACCTGGCCCTCCACCACATCCTACAGCACCTGGACTCCCCGGGGACCTACGCCAGGGTCCTGTTCGTGGACTTCAGCTCTGCCTTCAACACAATCCTGCCATCCCTGCTCCAGGACAAGCTCAACGTGCCCGATTCCACCTGCAGGTGGATCACTGACTTCCTGACGGACAGGAAGCAGCGAGCGCGTCTGGGGAAGAATGTCTCGGACTCTCGGATTATAAATACAGGAGCCCCACAGGGCTGTGTTCTTTCCCCCCTGCTCCTCTCCCTGTACACCAACCACTGCACCTCCAGCCACGACTCCGTGAAGCTGATCAAGTTCGCGGACGACACCACCCTCATTGGACTCATCTCCAACAACGATGAGTCCGCCTACAGGAGGGAGGTGGACCGGCTGGTGTCCTGGTGCAGTGGGAACAACCTGGAGCTGAACGCCCAGAAGACAGTGGAGATGATTGTGGACTTCAGGAAGAGCACTGTCCCCCCGACCCCACCCTCCGTGATGGACTCCTCCATCACCTCTGTGGAGTCCTATCGTTTCCTGGGCACCACCATCACCCAGGACCTCAAGTGGGAGCCGACCATCAGCTCCCTCATCAAGAAGGCCCAGCAGAGGATGTACTTCCTGCGGCAGCTCAGGAAAGCCAAGCTGCCTGCACAGATGTTGGTGCAGTTCTACACGGCCATCATCGAGTCCATCCTCACCTCCTCCGTCACCGTGTGGTTCGCTGGAGCCACAGTCAGGGACAAACAGAGACTACAGCGCATTGTGCGCTCTGCAGAGGAAGTGATCGGCCGCAGCCTTCCATCGCTACAGGACCTATACGTCGCCCGAGCTCGAGGCCGGGCTGGTCGCATCACAGCCGACCCCTCCCACCCTGCACATGGACTATTCCAACCACTCCCCTCAGGCAGGAGGCTGCGGTCCATCAGGACTCATTCCTACTGTTCTGTAACTGGTGATGCAACATGTCAAAATAAAGGATCTTTCTCTTAATCTTAATTGTTACCAACTTAACACCCTTCTTTTCAATAACTAATACAAGCTTTACACCATCAGATCAGCCAGTTTCTTGATTTCTTGATTACAATTCCCTCTTCATACTCTCCCGACAGCCTCCCTGATATCTTTTCTCTTGTATTTCATTCATGGTCCATTGGGTTAAGTTAAGGTCAGATGAGGAGGGTTGCCAAGTTATTAATTTCCTATCCTTCTGGCCCCTTTTTAGAAGCTGTGTAATACTTGGGTTAATGAGATAGCTAAAGTATGATCCTTGATTAAATGTAATGATTTCTTAAAAGATGCTTTTATCTGTACCACTGTTTGAAAATGTTGTGCTCTAAAAACTGGCAATAGCTTCAGCAGTTCAGTTCATCTTCAAATGGTCCACCTTGTCTTTAATGATACCGGCTCACACCAGTACCTCTTCTCCACCTCCTTAATATAAGTCGAGGACTATGACCTCTTTTTCTGTCCACCTTCTGCTTGTGACCATATTGGCTATTGCCTACTAAACTGTTGATGGTTAGGTGGTCCCGGCCCACAACCTCTGAAATTCAAGTGCTGAAACTCAATTGTTAAAAGCTTATTTGAGTGTGAAATCCCATTTTCTTCCCATTTTACTGAGAGGGAAGTTGCATAATAGCTCTGTGCACCTGATTTATATTGTGGGCCAGCTTTTCAAAATTATTATCATAATTAGATTAGATTTTGTCATAATTGAATTGGCAGGAAATAACATCACACATATCACAGAAAAGAAACACAAATGTAGAAAATTATCACAAACAGTAAGAATAAAACGGTTTAAGAGCACAAAAAAATAAAAGACAGTTCTTATTTTCTTGTCTTGATTGAGTGATTGTTAGAATATAGATTGGACTTGTAGTGTATTGCACATGCATCTTGAAACCACTTGAAACAATGTTGTACATTTTAAAGTACAGGATTTTACAAAGTGAACACCTGGGTTTTTCTTGTTATTTTTTTCTGAGGCCCACACCACCATATTTTTTCTCCTTTGATGCCATGGCTCTCATAACTCACGCCTGGAAAAGAGCTTTTTCAGAGCAGCTGCCGGCTCTGGTCTTATTTTGTGCGGTAGTGTGAATAGACCAATGCACGGGCACATTTGGGCGCATTTGGACTGTGTGGGCGCCTCAGAGATTTGTGGCAGAGAAATTAAACGCTCCGCGGAGTCGGCAGACTGGAGCCTTATGAGGATGAACTATGGCAAACATGTAGTTTTATGTTTTTACTCAAAGCTAAATTCTTGGAGACATTCTACACCGTTTCCCAGATCACCTCATGTGTTATAAAATCCAGTATTTTAGCAGTAAAATGCTGATACATAGTGGAGTATTAATACAATTCCAATTTATTCTTGTATAGCCCTAGGTCACAGCAGAAGTCATCTCAGAGGACTTCTGTCCTCCTTCTATTAAATTGACCATAACATATTAATCCGGTGTTGCTATTATCAGATTTGTGGGCTTAAAGTGGGCTTAAAGTGGGCTTAAAGTTGGCTCAAAAGTTACCATAAATATTATAATTATACCTTTATTATATTCAATTCCATTTATTTTTGTATAGCCCTAAATCTAAACAGTAGCTATCTCAGAGGATTTTACACAACCGTTAAATTTTCCAAAGCAGATTAGAGAATCAAACACAAGAAATACAACAGAAAACACACAGGGGCCAATGTCCATAAGTGTGGAAAAATGTCCATAAATAAAGATCCTATTCAAGTGTAATTTGACATTCTTATACAACTACAAGTGTTTAATGAGTATCTATTGATTTATTCCTTATTAATGTTCTTGTTCTTTGATGCTAGCTATACTAATTAAAATAAAACAAAATATCTATTGTTGACTTATCTTGTGCTGTGTGCTCCTCATTCCCACTGTTCTGTAACTTGTGATGCAACACTGAAATTTCCCCACTGTGGGACAAATAAAGGATCTCTTAATCTCTTGATTCAGGGAGGATCTGGGTTTTCGTCTGATCTCGGAGCAGGTCAGCCATCACCCTCCCATCAGTGCTTTCCACGCCGAGGGTCTGCAGCAGGACTTTGTGTTCCATGGCTCCATCTATCCCAAACTCAAGTTCTGGGGAAAGAGTGTCGAAGCTGAACCAAAAGGCATCATCACACTGGAGTTACTCAAGTAAGTCTTCGATATTGAACAAAACACACCGTGCATATTCTGCATGGTCACTCTGTGTTTGTTTGTTATAGGCACAAGGAGTCTTACACTTGGACAAATCCCACATGTTGTGTCCATAACATCATCGTGGGGCAGCTGTGGATAGAGCAGTATGGGAACATGGAGATCACCAATCACAGGTCGGTGCAAACCTCTCAACTCTTGTCTTATATTATTAATATTATTTTTACAAAAATAGTAAAAGTATACATTAAAGGAATGTTTTTACAAACTGACATAGGTTCTTACCTTACCTTAGACTAGTTGATATGTACCTGTGTGATCTTTGTCCGTGCGCTCTGTCATCCAAACGGAGCACAAACGCAGCCTCTTCCACATACTATAGTTCCAAATCAGCTCCCGTTAGAAGCTACCAAACTCTTCCACGTGTTCCCTATTTAAATACAGTTACGTGACGTGTTACACTACAAAGTATAGTAACACGGAAATGTAACATGTCGATTTTCTAAGCGGATAAAAAGGGGTACTATATTATGAGGCGTAATAATACGAGGAGCGCTATGTCTGCGCACTACCTCCAACAAGTCACGCTGCTTCTATTGACGGAAGTGAGCGGGAGTGAAGTCTTTGGGTGTTAGTGCGCGGACCAAACGCTCCTCGTATTATTGCGTTTGAGCTCCGTTTGCATGACAGAGCGCACGGACAAAGATCACACAGGGACATATCAACTAGTCTAAGGTAAGGTAAGAACATATGTCAGTATGTAAAAACGGTGGCCTATTCCTTTAAATTAAGTACAATTAGTGCTTCATTAAAGTACAACATAATAATAATACTAATACCAAAGCCCTTCGATGTCACCTGTCCCTTATCTCTGGAATAATTCACACAGTGAATTATTGTGTGTATTTATAGATGGAAGAAAAAAGGAGATTGAAGTCAAAATAACTGGTGGATTCACTCAGTTCTGTATCAGGAAATGTACAGCAGATTAACGTTCAGTGATGCCCATGGAGATAATACAGGAACACGTTTTTTTTTTAAATTTCCTTAACAATTGAATTTACCTACATTAGCATACTTATTATAGCTATTTTTCAGTGTATGTTTTATTACAATAACTTTCACAGCTTTTTGACAATCGTAATCTCTGGCATTTCCTTCTTGTTTGGCATAAAGAAATGAGTTCACTGGAAGAAGATATCTTAAAACATGTTTAGCCTAATTTCAGCCTGAAACCAGTTTGCAGTAATATACTGATACATACATATTTACCTATTATTAACATAATAAGAATTGCATCACTTTTATTTATATTCTAACTCAATCTTATGGATTGTTTTTTTCTGGGGGAAAAATATAATGTATACTCAGACATGTCCAATGTCCAGCCCGCAGCCAATCACAGCCGTCTGTGTCATTCTATGTGGCCCTCTGCCTTGCAAAGTATCCAATGAGGTCATACACATTCACAGTGTCATCCAGCCAACTTCAGCTCTGCAATCCAGATATGCTATACCACACTGGAAAACTCAGAGCCTTAGAATCCGGTTTTTGACTTTTGTGATTGTGGCACAATGTCTACAAGTGCTATTGCAGCTATTGAGAAAGTTAACAGTTGACATTCAGCCATCTTCAGCTTTGTCAATGTAAAGCTCTAATTTTATAATCTCAGACGGCCTGAATCCTAGTCCAAGTGTTTGACTGGTTAACCAAAAGTTCTCCTACTAAAGTTTGGAGCGCCTTTGGACACCCTGCTGTTTCTAATAAATAAACTAACTGTCTAGTCTATTATGACCAACAAGTATAAAAACCTAAATAAAAACACGCAACCAGACGTCCCTTTGTCTTTGAAGTTAAGGGTTTGTTCTTTTTACAGTTTAATTATTTAGAATTCTTTGTTTGAGGCGAAATGTGAGCTCAGTGCACTGTAAAAAGTGAGAATAAATGTCAAAAAATGCTCACATTTGGCAAATCACATCTTAATTTAAGCCCAGTCTGACTGCCTTAAAACTTGCCAATAAGACAAGATTGATGATCTGAAATACACAAGAAATGTCTCCCTTGGAATGAGAAAATAAAGCAACAGTTCTCGAAATAAGACTAAATCCCATCGGTTATTCTGGTTTTGAGACAGTCAGAATGTGCTCAAAATAATAATCCAAAAAAACCACTCAATTGAAGCAATTATTACCTCATATTTGATTACTTTTTGCAACTTTTTTTTAGAACTGGTGAGAGGTGTATCCTGAATTTCAAACCCTGTGGTCTTTTTGGCAAAGAACTGCACAAAGTGGAAGGGTATATTTTGGATAAAAGGTACAGTATTGCTGCTGAATTATTCATTGCCCTCTCACATTTCTGTATCCAAAGTATTTTTATATTCTGATAAAAGTCTTGCTACTATTGCCTTCAATCATATTAGGCTGTTCCTTCCTCAATTTGTGGAGAGTTCTCTACAGGAAGCGCTAACTGTTGCTAAAAGCCCCGTTGCTAAACAGATACTCTAATTACACCACATACTCCGCTCTGTTTAGCGCCATCATGGGCTGACAAGAGTTGCACATTGGTGCAAAGCTTAATTAAACACAGTATTAAATAGTGTTATATTTCCGTCTGAATCATCAGCAGATATTTCCTTTATGGTTCAATTATCCCTTGATATTGACAATGTTTAACAACCAATCTGTTGGCTGCGTTATTTCTACTTGGAATTTTTCACTATTTAAACTTGGGTTAGGGGACAAAGACTTAAAATAACTAATTGTTTTAAAAGTCTTTTTAGAACAAATGATAAAACACAAGTGGTTTTTCCTGACCAGCCAGACCCTCACAATTATACAATACATGTGATAAATTTTTGTTAATTTGAGCATTTACATTCCTTAGTTCGAGAGCTTAGAGAGAGCTATAGAGAACTTTTGTACCTTGCTATGTTGCCTATTGTGCTTATAGTATATACATACACGTGCAAAAATATATACATTACATTATATACAATCAAGCAACAGCATTTGCCATAGTTTCACCTTGTGTTGGTATATTTACAATTTCAATATATATTTAAAAATGTATTTCTATTTGCAAATTGTCAAATGTTGAGTGAGAAAGAAGAAGAGACTTGCAGACTTCCACCCCATGACCATCTTTTAAATACATTAATGAATTTTGTGCTTTCACAAGTGTCATAAAGCAGTGGATCCGGCTGGCCAAACAAGTCCTCATGTTAAACAGGTTATTTCAGGTCACATTTTGAAATAGAATCACGCAAAATGTGGCTTAACAGTTCCTGGTTAATAATTCATGGACACCAAGGACAGAGCCAGGCTTTGGTGACACACCTGCTAAATGCTACTACTGCGGGAATTTCAGATAACATTAGATTAAAGCCAAAAAGATAATGAATAAACAGAGAGAAGCAGATGGTTCAGCGATAAATCAGTCAGAAGGTGTCAATGACTCCATTCCTCCCAAACTAGAGACAACTTCCATCAGTTCATTATCTGCGCTGAATGTAAATGAGAATCTCAAACATGGTACGGTATTCCTGGTCAGACAATTATTTGAAATTGGCCTTTTTTTTTTGCAACTCTTTCTGCTTCACTATATTTTCCACTTCTTTGTTTGTTTATTATTTCAAACCTGCAGTGGCACTACAAAGACATTCAACAGACAAAGACGTAAACACAAACAAAAAGTCTGCTGGGTTTGAAAGGGGGATGATTGACCCTTACGCCTTACACAAAACCAACGCCCCACACACTCCACTTGAAGACGGATCATTATCACTAATCATTATGTCGATAAACACAAAACGTTACACACATCACAACACAAAAACATAGGCCCCAACACTCACCGACCCTGCACCCCTCTCCCGCCGTTACATTTACATAAAGGCAGCATGATCTCTTCTCCAGGTACATTTTTTTCACCAATCCCAGTTTTTCATTTCGTCTTTGAGGCCGTTCCACAAACTTGCCCCCCTTACAGAAATACTCTTTGACTTCAATGCTGCTCTGATTCATGGTTGATGTAATCTCAGTGCTGGGTGTCTCTTTTGTGAAATAGATTTTTGTTTTTTGGCCTTTTTTTAAGCTTTTCTGCCACTTGACAAGAGTGTGCCAACGTAGTGAGACCAAAGATCTGTGAAAAAACACAGCGATTAAAGCATGAAATCTATCTCACTGATGCTATGTGCGGGAAACTCATTGAAATGTTGATTGTTTAATTTGTTTGAAAGAGAGTGAATGAAGACATTCTGTGCAAGTGCTTTGGTGAGCTGATTTTCCGATGTTTGGGCCTGAGGCTGTGTGTCTGTGTCTGTGTGTGGCAACAGCAAGAAGAAACTCTGCTCGCTCTACGGGAAGTGGACCGAGTGCATGTATGTCGTCGAACCAGCCGCATTTGAGGCCCACAAGAAAAGTGACAAGAAAACACCAGAGGAAAAGAAGAATAAATCGGTAGGATTTATCATATAATGAGGACACAAACTGCTTCATAACAGTCCATGGTTTTGGCCTGTTCTAGCAATGATTATGGGTGAATCCTCACATAACTCGTTACATTAGACTAGAGAAACAAATAGAGGACATAAGAGCAACAAGCCTCAGTTGTAAATTACTCTAGTGATTAAACTTAGATAAAACACAAAAGTGAAACCGATAATTATTGAATTAAATATTCCAATACTTTTCTACTGTATAGATTTATTTGCGTGCGCAAGATATCGCAATATCTTACGCATGCAAGGGCGTCAGTGGCTCAGTTGGTAGAGCGTTGGCCTTCGAGCCTGCAGGTCCTGGGTTCGGGCACAAGGACACAACAACAACAGTCATCAGTGAGACCTTCTCCACCGACTCCCACTGATGACTGTTGTTGTTGTGTCCTTGGCCTGAAGCCCCTGCTGAAAGATCAAGGCTATGCCACAGAGCGGCCATCCTCCTGTGGACTCACCACCTGCAGGTCGTTGTTTGATTTTGTTCTTCGTAAGGTTGGAAATGTTCATTAGTCCTGTTCTGGGTGGACCAAATCCTCCTTTCATTAGACTACAGCACCCTCTGGAGAAGTTCCACAGAGAAATGAGCAGGACTTTAAATGTGCCACGACCACATTGTCTATGTTCAGGTGGTGGTACAGATGCTGTCAAAAACAAGCTCTTTTGTTTTGTGTTGTTCAGTCCACGGCACTAACTTCAGTCAGAGATGTTTGTTTGTGTCTATAAGTGGTTTCATCCATGTCAGTGTTGATTTTAAGGTTATGCTATGCTCGCTAACATGGTGGTCCTGTCAGCACATTTAAAGATGGCAATGAGAATTAGTTAATCTGTGTGGCTTCTGTCCAGTCTGTCCGAAAATGTATAAGCCATAAATCCACATTAATTCACATTTAACCACAATTGTCTCCTTTTCTGTAAAGGAATAACAACTGGAAAGTAGTAAAATGTCAGTTTGAGGACGACTGATATCCTCTGACAATAACCCCGAAACGCTAAATTGTTTTTTGCTTCCAGTTACGCCCCGCCCATGCCTGTGATGTAGGTCGTGAAACAGTATAATAGCAACAAACCTTTTCACATGTATTTGTTGAAACAAAGGAAAACAGCTGACAATTGATTAACCTTGCAACTATTAATATTAATTGTCAGAATACCAAGTGATAGTTTTTGGATATTTTAGCGGGAGAGAGTTGGGCTCAATTTGCGTATTGCAACTGTTTGTGTACATATGTAGATGTGTTTGTATGTGGGTGTTTTTTAGGTACTTTATTAGTTTTCTTTGCATTTATACTGGATAAAACTCTACTGGAAGTTTAATTGGAATTCCCTCCAATTACTTTCCATAATCCAATTTTTTGTAAATAATGTATTTCCTAACATTTACTTTAATACATTTTAACAGAAACAGATCTAAACTTTCATGAAAGAATTACATCATTCTAGATTTAAAAAAGTAATTCACAAGTGTTACATTTCAACATACCGGCTATCCTTTCTGATTTGGAGAAATTTATTCCTGCAGTTTTTTACAAGTCACTTCAGTCACCTTAGAATCTTTCGGTCCTTGGTGTTTGTCTCTGATTCCTCTCCCCGCCAAAGGAATTGCAGGATTGTTAACATCTAGGTGCACTGGCTGTGGTGTGTTTTATGTATATTATGTGTGTGGCTTATGGGGATCTTAATAAACTAAACTAATTGTGTTCTAACTGCACACAGCCTGGACTCAAACATGTTTTCTGAGGTGATGCTTGTTGGAAGAAAAAATGTTTTTGTTGTTTTTTGAGGGTGGAGAAGAGCAGGAAGAGGTGCCGTCTCCGAGTACAGACACTGTTCAGATGATCCCAGGGAGTCAGCTGCTGTGGAGGATCGCACCTCGACCTCCCAACTCCACCCAGGTACAGAGCCACTTACAAAACCCAGACATGTGAAGAGCCACTAGACTGATGTGAAATGTCAGTATTCACCCATGTGCTGCAATATGTGCAGAAAGTCCTCTCGCCTCGTGCAAGCAGAGAGCTTTTGTTGCAATTGACTATTTTAGCCAATCCAACTCAAGTAGAAAGTTTTTGAAATGTCAAAATGGGATGTTACTTTCACTGCTGCTTCACTTTTTCATGCAATTATCCAACTTTCTTTCATTCTTCTCATTCTTTTCTCATTTTAGATGAGTAAAAAAACACTTTTTACACAAATTTGACTATACAACACAACCTGTCAACTTCATCAGAATGTCTTTTCCTGATTAAAAAGTTCCTTGACCTTGTTTGAATTTACATTCTATTCATTATCCACAAGGAGCAGATGGCAGTAAACATGAGTTTGTTGCAAATCTAATCCAACAGCAATGTCCTTTAGGTTTCTACCTCCATAACTTGCATCGTTGACATTTCAAGGCGTTGCTTCTGAAATGGTTGAAGGAAAATTACAGGATACATTATTTATTTCAGTAAATCAACTGTGACTTGCAGATGTACAGCTTCACTTCTTTTGCGATGCAACTGAACGAGCTTCACAAGGACATGGAGGGGCTGATCCCGCCGACCGACTGCAGACTGCGCCCAGACATAAGAGCCATGGAGAACGGAGACATCGGTAACACCCGCCTTTCATCCAGACTTAAGTTAAATTAGCCCCCAGTGTCAAAAGATAAAAGTCAGAAGTCGGATTTTTTTCTTCCTAGATCATGCCAGTGAGGAGAAAAAAAGGCTTGAAGAAAAACAAAGAGCTTCTCGCAAAAATCGCTCCAAGTCGGATGAAGAGTGGAAAACCAAGTAAGAAACTGAGTCACTCAAGCATCAAAGGAACAGAGCTCTTTATTTTATGTAGTAGACAGACAAGAATCACAAGGATTCTTTTATTAAAGATGCAAAGCTGTTTTAGTGGAGGGTCTATCACCTTCCTGTCTTCACTCAGATGTTGTTCATTTGCCTGGAGATTTCAGAATTATATGAATCATAAAAGCATGAATTAATCATAAAAGCGTGAATTAGTCATAAAAGCACGTCATAAGGCCAAATTACAGATCAGAACTGTGGAGAGGTGATTTATTTATATATTGCTTTTTGTTTGTTGTTTTAATTTTCTATAAAACATTCCCATGAAGCCTTCATAGTGCACGATTATAATGATGAGTATACATCAAATAGGAACATTTTAATTTGGATGCAGTAGGAGCGGGACGATATTCTATGGTTTTAAAATGCCACAATATCTATATCATGGAGGCTGTTGGAAATGACTGTTGGAGCACCATTTAATTAACTGAATTTGTGGAAAGGTCTGCTGCCCAATAGCTTGAATATGATTTTTTTATGGTATATTCCGAGCGTATAATGTCATATTACCAATTAAAAGCAACTTTATGTCGCAGCAAAGAAATAATAAGCACTTATTTTATCAATATATGGTATTTATTGTATATCAATTAGATGGTATTTATATGGTATGTTCGCTGAGGTAGTCATCTATGGAAGCAGAGGTGAACCTGACTCATTCAAAGCCTTCTCCTCAGTTATACAAGTTTATGCTTTTGGAAATACATCATTTCAGAAGGGGCATATTAACATGTTCTATACCCACTATTTTCACTGTGGCTTTCAGCTCCGGCTTTTGTATCGTGTGCTGCCATACTGTATTGGTTATAGGTTGTATGTTGCCAGTTCCATCATTTTTACCTTAAAAATGGGAATTATATTTTCAATTTGGTTTATTGCATGGTTGAAATGCTGGTTGCAAAAGCTGTCTGTTTGCTAAAGCTGTCTTGTTCCCACCTGCCTTGTGCTTCCTTTGATATCCAGGAGTCCTGCCCTCGGCCCAAGGTTAGCGCCGTCAGCTGTGTGTATTATTTGTGTGCGTTCTGTGTGATGTGTGTGTCGTGTGTCCCCACTGCCTCCCTGTCTGTCTGTGTCCAAAACGCTTCACTCTTATCCGTTTGATTGAAGACAAAATGAATGATTGTCTAGGAAAGAAACACCACTTGTGTTCGGTGATTGGCTTACCAGTGTGCCAGCTCCCCCCACTGGCTCTAAATGGAATTATCCAACATGCCCAAATCTTCCTCCCAGTTTGACTTTCTCTAACCAACAGACAGATTCTTTTAGTCCAGGAATAGGCATAAATATTATGCAAATTAGCTACTAGCTCAGTATGTAGCATGACTAATCTTTGTTTCTTGCTTCTAGTTTTGTCTTGTCGCCTGCTGTCTTTTTCTGTTTACTAGAAGCTTGTGATGAATATTAATAAGCTTCCCCTTTTTTCAGGTGGTTTCAACAGGGCCAAAATCCACATACCAGATCCCAGGACTGGATCTTCACCGGTGGATACTGGGAGAGAAATTACACTCAGCTCCCTGATATTTACTAAGTCTCGTCCCAAGTATTTTCTCATGACTAAAAAGACTGTTTTTAAAATGCAAAAAGTTACTACAAGCAATATGCAAAAGATGTGGCCTTAATTTGCATTTGTTTATAATTATGTATGTATTTTTGTCATTATGGAGTGTGTTACGCCTCTAATAAGGTTTTAAACTCTTTTAGTTTTAATGATTACGTGTTTTATCTCATGTATATACAAGTTACAATGCAGACCTCACGATCCATTATTTCTCGACTCACCCAAGCAAAAAGTTGAATGTCAATATTAGATCTTTTTTTTTTTTTTTTTATTAAATCATTGTATATTTTCATACAATCAAAATAAATTGTTTATATAGACAGTGATGCAAGAATATGTCAGTTTGCATTGTTACAAAAATGTCCACACTAGAAATAAAATACATCTGACTTTTTACCGCATCCTCTCCTTGTTCCCCTTTTTCAGTATTTCACCCTTTTAATTAAACAAAATGTACAAGTATCTGGGTAAAAAGTGTTTTTTTTGTACAGTATCAATATAGAAAACCATTTTTATTTTTCACTGTTACTTTCTTCAAAAGTAACAGTGCTTTTTAATATATTTCTTATTTTGGAGTACCTAGAAGTTTGATGTGAGGCCGACACCAGGTGTAGCCCTGACACTTCTAAGATATAAAGGAGTTCCAAAATCATGAACAGAATAAAAACAAAGTAGAAACATGTAGGTAAAGGTTTGTGGGAAGCCAGGTCTCTGAACAGACCTTTCTGCTGCTGAAGGTTTTCAAACACTGAATCCATTCAAACTATTTGCAGTTACAGTTTGTGAGCAAAATGAAAGTTGAAAACAATCAGTGTATAAATATTCCAATGCGGTAAATAGTTTCAGTGAGTTAAAACTTGATGAATTCTGAAAATACAATGTTTATATTTTTTCAGGTGGTTGAAGAAAATTCCGAGGTTCTTTTTTCTCATACTCAGCCGCCAAAAGTTCAGTGCATAAAAAGAGAAATGTTTTCAGGCTGAAGAAATTGCTCTCTTTGTGGACAGCATTTTTTTGGGGTGTAATTTAGCACCAAGGATATGTGTGTTTTTACCAGTCTAACTCGACTTTTTGGAGCTGTGGCACACCTTTTCTTTTTAAAACACCACCAGCTGAAGCCGTTACAAAAATTAAACTCTGCAGCCTTTTAGGTAAGTGTAATAGTTAAATTGCGCCTTTCACAGATCAAAGTCTTTTTGTCTTTTTCTTGGCCAGGATTTGAACCCAGGACCTTCTTACTGAGTAACGAGAGTTCTATCCACTCAGCAGCCGTGCAGCCCTATTAACAATGCCAAAGTTATTCTCATCAAAGTGTTTTATATAGAAAATCAAACGAGCACAAAAAGTCTTTCTAACCTTCTCCCATTGGTTTATTATCACTTTGAATTGACCGATCAGGTGATATTGGATCCTCTCCCAAGGCACATCAAACCACATCTCACATGACATGCTATTGTGCTACGGCCCACAGTTTGAAAAACACTGGTTAATCCTAAATACAGGGTCAAGTTACATCAAATATAGTCATAGTCAAATATATTCATGAACCCTTAACGACTTGAATAAAGGCAGGACAGTACCCTGTTGATAACGTTCTTGGTCCTGGTCTCCACACTTTTGACTTTACTCCATTTTTGTTAATGGGTCCAACCTTTCCCTCAAACGCCGCCGGTGAGTCATCCTGCTCCATGAATTGACTTTGCAATGAGGCCAAACTGAAAGACTGCATGTGTTTCTCCTTGATTCTTGCATTCATTCAACTTGCTTTGTTCTAAACTGTCTGAAATCCATCACATGTCTTTGTATTGTGGGATATAGTTGACATATAGCAACAATAGAGGTGGTTCTTATAGGGCTAGAGAGGTTTCTTGGAAAGCTTGGAAAGTATCTGCTGCTTCAACCTCTCAATGTGAGTCGAAGAGACGTGCATGGCCTCAATTTCGGTTTTCAAAGCCGTGTAATAATGTCGTTCTAACTTCTGGGAGAATATTCTAACTTTATTAATATTCTAACTTCATTAAGTCACTTGAGGTTATTCTGAGCAAGGATCGTTCTTTAATACTGTAACATTTGGCTTCACTCTGGATTAAGTGGGAGCTACGGTCACCCAAATTTTCTCTTTTTTTTCCCAAGGGCAAACTTGTGTAGAGCTCATGTCTGTTATTTTCCATTAGAGAAACATTGCAGCTGTTTTGTGATGGAGAAGAAAATATGTTCAAATGCCAAAGCCAGGAAAAGCAAAACTATTCACTATGATTTGGAAGACTCTCCAAAATGTACCTCAAAGATTATGCTTTTCTAAGGGTACATCATGTGCTAAAAGTATGATCATCACTTGTTTCTTTGTCATGATTTAGCACATTCATAGCAGGACATTTTGTTATTATGTACAGATTTTTGTGAGTAGAACTGGTACAAAAAAAACATTATTGGATTGGATTATATCAAGATGGAAGAACACAAATTGTCTCCACCTGTTTTACGTTTGTACAGAATCATGGCAATTATAGCTATATACTGAAGACATTGGCAAAAGAATCAATATTTTCCCATTCTCTCCTCACATGATGATGATGATGGACAAAAATAGACGGGTGGATGGCATTTCCATTATTTATCAAGTCTTCCCATTCACGTGTAATTTTCTGATCTGATTCATCCAATTTTCACTCTCTGTTCTTCCAGTATTGCATCTCACCAGAGTCGCAAAGCAGTTGGGAATTTGTCTCTCCGCACACAGATGGGAGTGAGGTCGCCAGTACAGGAGGCGCATGCCAGAACTATAGTACATGTTTTTAGTGGTAGGGGAAACCGCAGTACCAGGAGGAAACCTACGCAGACACAGGGAGAACATGCAAACTCCACTCAGAAAGACCAAGATTCGAACCCAGGACCTCCTTACTGAGAAGCGAGAGTGCTGTCCACTCAGCCACCGTGCCACTTCTACTAATATTTATCATCATCATCATTATTATTTATTTACTCCACGGTGATAAACTGCTGCAGTCTCAGTTGCCCTGGGGAAGACTGACAGAAGCGAGGCAACCAGTATGTGCCATCGGCCGCTCTGAATAGACTCTACATCAGACTCATTCTTTGCAATGTGGGTGAAGTGTCTTGCCTAAGGACACAATGACAGTTTGACACTTTACAGCCGCAGCCGCCCCACAGAGGTTTCCCATCACAGTACTAACCACGGCCTGCCCTGCTTAGCCTCAGAGGTTTGACAAGATCTGGCTTTTACATGTAGGGGGTGCCGCTAAAATCAATCAATTAGAAAAGTTGAAAAATAAAAAAGAATGTATATGGGGACACGGTGGCTGAGTGGATTGCTCTCTCGCTTCTCAGCATGAATGTGGATTTGAATCCCGGGCTTTTCTGAGTGAGTTAGGTTTCCTCCGTGTGCTCCGGTTTCCCCTTCCACTAAAAACATGTACAATAAGTCTATAGGCCCTCGCTATCAGAGACAAATGGCCACAATTGTAAAGCGCTTTGTGACTCTGATCTGTGAAAGGCGCTATATAGATTACTTACTATAAACCCCTTTTCTAACAAGATTGCAACTCAATGCCCTTCACAAAGAAAAAACAAATCACAAAAGACAATGAAGAGATAGGAACAAGAACCAAGATCCAACCAGACCGATTGGCAATCCAAAAGGCAGAGAAATGGACACAGTTGTGCCATGGCCAATTTTATGCAGTGTGATTCACATTCATTAAAATCCAAAGCACCTTTTCTCCTGGCGCTGCCGGCACACATGATTGTGCAGCTCCAGAGACGATGGTTCTTTGTTAGCCAGCTCACCATCTGTCTTGTAGACCAACAGATGAAAACGTCACCAGAGAGAACAGAGAGGACTGAACTTCAAGGACACTCATTTAACCAGGACCACACAATTTTACAACACCTGAATGTAGAGGTTGGCTGGTCAAGGACATCGCAACCATAATACTTCCAAACTCCTGAGATGTTATTTTAGTTCAGTTTAGTATAGAGTGTGCTGTGTGCTCCTCATTCCTACTGTTCTGTAACTTGTGATGCAACACTGACATTTATAATTTATAGATAAAGAATCCTGATCGTAATCTAAAGACTCCATCCTGAATGAATAGTTCAGTGTATGGAAACATTCCTTTTGCCAAGCATCTGGATTTCTTTCTTGATGTCTTTGGCAGGTATCGTGAGTAGTAATGTCACGAGGCCAACTCATTACAATAATCAAACAAAGGTGAAAGGCATAGAAACATATAAACCCTTTTCACTGCTGATTGTTTTGGAGGGCTGTCACTGGGTGTGTGTGTGTCTCTTTGTCCCTCATTGTCAGCTCCCTCTGGCCCTGTAGATATGTAAAGGATATAAATGGGTTTCCTAAATATTCTGGTTCACACTAAATGGCACAAGACGTGTAAAGCATTATTTACAAACGATAGAAAAGAATTCAAGGTTGTAGAGAATGCTTCTGCAAAGAAATGTTATATGAAATTTAATAATAAATTACCTGGATCACAGATCTCATCTCACCATCAACACCAAATATCCGCTCAATCTGTCCAGTGTTTGTCCTACCCTGCCTACACGCACGCACACACACACACCACACACGCACACACACGTTTTTGTTACCTGGTGGGTCCCTTTGACAGGGCCGTTCAGAATGGGACCCATAGACATAATCTTTTTTTACTGGGACTACTTTAAGTAATACAAAACAGTCAATAGAAAACAAACAACTCTTTTAAAGGAATTTTATTTTAGATTTTTTTTTCGAATTGCAGTGATTCTATTTTTGACATAGAATTTAATGCCACTCCATGTCCGATGTCTAAGGTCATCTGGTGAGGCATTAATGCAGGCCAGGCACTGAGACTTCCCAGGGACCTTTCCAGTCTGTATGAAAGGTGTCATGGTCTTCTCCACAGCCTTCACCTCAGATGCAGACCATGGCTTTCTTACACGTTCTAGGGAGA